AAAAAAATTGCAATTCAACTCAAACAATCTAAAAGAATTATTTTTGGCGTCCCAAAGTCAAAAGGGCAGTCATGTGGTTGCTATGGTCTGGATCTAAGAATGCCACCTACCCCTGCAGGGCCCTGTTACCTAACGAGTTCCAGTTCAGCCTCTTGTAGCCAGATCTGAACACGCGGACCAGCTCCTGCGAGTGATCATCAAGGAGGAGAGTCTCTGCCTCATTCAGGGTTCCAATGAGCATGTGGTAGTGGTCCAGCATACGCTGCATCCCGTCTGTGTACCTGCATGTTCCAGGACAGAAACGGTGACGCCCGGGAGAAGCTTAATAGCCCAACCACAAACCACCAAAGATCAGGAACCAGCATGTTTAATCAAGAGGCCTGCAGAGGGGAAGGGCTGTAGCTCAGCATCTGAGCTCTGGCCTAGCAAGGATAAGGCCCTAGGTACATCCTAGCACTGGGGCGGGGGGTGGGGGAAAGATTCACAGAAACTTCAAACAATTCCACTATTCTGACTAACTTTGTTTTAATATTGGTTGTTATTTGCATTAACATGTAATAGTTTATTCTTGTTCTTTTTAGATTGGTGAGTAAACTCATACTTTAAACACTTCCTAGTTTTGAGTGTGGTTGCTATGGTCTGGATCTAAGAATGCCACCCACCCCTGCAAGCTCATGTGTGAAGCAATGCAGGAATGTCCAGAGGCGAAATGATGAGTTTATCAGAGCTGGAACTCCGTCACTGAGTGGACTACTGGGTGGTAACTATAGGCAGGCAGGGCATCGCTGGAGGAAGTAGGTCACTGGAGGTGTCCTTGGGGACTATATCCTGTCCCTGGCTCCTGAGCAGCTCTCCTCCACCACACCCTCCTACCATGATATTCTGCCTCACTCAGGTCCAGAGCAATGGAGCCAGAGACCAGGGGCTGAGCCTTCTGAAACCAGGAGCCCCGAAGAAAATTTCTCTCCTCTAAATTGTTCTTGTCATGTATTTTGGTCACAGAAAGAAAAAACTAACACACACAGTGGTTGATGTTGATAGTTATAAGACCCAAATGAAAGCTCTGAGGGGCAGGGTTCGATCCTCAGCACCACATAAAAATAAAATAAAGGTATCATGTCCACCTAGGGCTAAAAAATATTTTTTTAAAAATTAAGGCTTTGGGCTGGGATTGTGGCTCAGCGGTGGAGTGCTCGCCTAGCACGGGCAGGACCCGGGTTTGATTCTCAGCACCACATAAAATAAAGGCATTGTGTTGTGTCCATCTACAACTAGAAAATAAAGATAAAAAAAAAATGAAGGCTTTGAAGAGAGAGGGTCCTAAGTAGTTTTTAAGAGTATAAGGGGCTGAGACCAAAGAGTTTACTGATAGTTTAAGAGAAGATCTGTTTACCTAAGAAATTTGTCCTCTTGGAGAGCAATGTTTCTTGCGAGTTCAGGGACAGGGAATCCCAGCTGTTCCAAGTACTTGGTTTCATGAATAATCTCTTTGAGAGCTGGAGAAAAATTGATTACAAAAATAGCCCCCTTTTCCAGAGTCGACGCCTCCTCATTGTTGGCAGATGTCTGTGGAAGAGAGGTCTCATCAGCCTGGGAAAGACGGGTGGTCCGAGGGGTCAGCACATTCCAAGTTAAATGTGAATTTGAAAAAAGATCAACGTGGGCCCCTTCTCCCTGGAACTAGCTGGAGTGTGCATTTTCTTTGGTGAACAGAGTTTTTAAAGAATCTAATTTCGTCACCAACATTTAAAAATTGGGAAATCCCATAAAAATCCAGAATTGTGGCTTCCTTTGAAAGCCAGGGAAATCCAATCACATCGGCAGGGATAGGCTGGCAGTGGGCTGCAGCTGCCCCTTTGGATAGGACGTAAGCAATCCAAGCTCCTGGGTGTCCCACCCGGCCCTCTTCCTTCATGTCAGTAGAACTTGACAATTTGGTAGAATTTCAGGAACTAACAATCTACAGCTGCCGGGTTCCTCCTAATGGCTACATTTTTTTTCCACTGAGCACTCGACACACCAGGCCCAGTGGTTAAGATAAGGATGAATGGCATGAGAGGGCATTTTTCTGAGGTTTAAAAAACAACCCACTGTCAGCTGTTCCGTGCACGGTTCAACTGACACTTTGCACGTCTCTGTCATCTTGTCCCATTTTCCATGTGGAGTCCGAGGTTAAACCTCATGCCCAGAGTCACCAGGGCTGCCGACCAGCCCATTCATACCCTGACCGCAACATGCACCGTCTCCCTTCTCCTTCCCACCCACCTCATGGGGGACAGCAAATCACACCTCGGGGAAAAAGGGCAATGTGCCCCCACCCGGTCCGGCCCTGGCAGGTGTTCGCTGCGCACCTTAGTGAGCAGGCTCTTCTTCATGAGGTTGGGCAGGACCTGCTCCGTGGTCTCCTTCCACTGCTCATACTTGTGGTCCTCGTAGTCCTTCATCGTCCGACCCACCTCCAGATATTTTTGTTTGACCTATTGAAGAATCCAAGCAATTTTGCCCTCAGAAATAACATTTTCTCAACTCTCTCTCTGCCTACCTATATTCATTACTTATAACACCTTGGTTCGAGTAGGTGTGACTTGAAGTCCAGGCTTGCTCTAGCATAGATCATTAAACTACACCCCAGTGGCATGTGGTACAGCCCGTGCACTCAGAATTGTTCCTTATGTTTTTAAATGATGAGAAGAAAAGCCGAGCTCTGTGATACAGGAATTATCTGAAATTCACACAGCATCATCCATAAATAAAGTGCAGTGGGTTTTGGGGTTTTCTTTTTTTTTCGGTATTGAGGAGGGAACCCAAAGGTGCTCCTACCCCTGAGCTACATCCCTAGGGCTTTTTATTTGATTTTGAGACAGGGTCTCACCAAGTTGCCCAGGCTGGCCTCAAACATGCAATCCCTCCTGCCTCAGCCTCCCAAGTTGCTAGGATCACAGGTGTGCACCACCATGCCCCGTCCCATAAGTAAAGCTTTATTGAAACAGCTTGTTGGCCTGTCTACTCCTCATCTGAGAATACTCTCGCAACAGTATCAGACTGACTGGTTGCAAAACAAATTGTGTGAGCTTCAAATACCCCCAAATATTTACTGCTTGGATCTTTAAGAAAAAGGTGGCCAACCTCTGCTCTGTAATGAACAAAAAGCCATGGCTTGCTGGGAGGACCAGTCCTAAAAGGCAGCGGTCATAGGTCAATAGAAGCCCTCAGGACCCTGGAACATGTCCTGTGTTTAAAGATGCCATAAAGAAAGGGCACATAAGGCCATTTTAAATATAAGCCCTAAACTCAGGACCACAGGAAAGACCCCCTAATCTGCAGATGTGAGTTTGAGGTCAATGCGTTTCTCACATGGCCCGCCGCAGGTGGTGGCCACCCAGGCAATGATCCCCCTGTACCCGGGAGACCTGCCGCTAGGAGGGAGCAGTGGGCAGATGGCAACGGCTTCAGAAAAGCCACTCACCTCCTGGCCCCGCTCACTGTCCAGGATCTCCTCCACTTCCTGGAACCTGAGGATGGTGTGCTTGATGCGGAAGAACAGAGACCGCTCCCAGTAGATGGAGCCTGCCACCGGAGGGTGGTTCTTGTACAGAGGAGGGTTTTCAAGGTTCTTGACAAAGATCTTATTCACGATGTCAATCTGAAAAGCAACCAAACGTGCTGTTGGTGCTGGACGTCACCACGTGAGCGGAGAAAGAGGTGACGCGTGGATGCAAACTAGAAGCTGGAGGGGTGTCCTAGGACACAGAGCTTTCACCATGTGTGCTCCCCACAGCTTTCCCTCGTGCTCCCTGGTCATCCTCCCCTTGGCTCGGCACCTGCACTGCTCCAAGTGGCCTTAGGGACGCAGGCCCTGTTCGCTGCACACGCTGGATTATCAGACATCTGGAAATCTCTTCTAGACATAACCAGGGTCAAGCCAAAATAATAATAAAGCAGCAGCATTTCTGGGCATGGGGCGTAGCTCTGTGGCAGAGGACTTGCCAGGCAAGCGCGAGGCCTGGGCTTGACCCCAGCATCACTGTGTTCCTGAGCATTGCATTTGAATGATTAGAGATGGTCCACCTCCAACCCCAGAACCTAAGGGTGTGACACGGGCCAGCAGAGTTGCAGACAGACTTGAGGCTGCAGGTCTGCGGACCTTAGAATGGGAGCTCTCCTAGACAGGCACTCACAAAGCCCCTGAAAACAGGAGGGGCCAGGGAAAGCCCAGAGTGGAAGGGGCAGGAACTGCCAGAACCGGGGCAGAACAAAGCGGTGAACCCTCCCTGGAGGCTCCAGGAGGGAATGCAGCCCAGCTGACCCCTGGATGCAACCCAGGGCAATGGTGACAGATTTTGCCCTCCGGTTCTGCAAGAGCATAAACTTGTGCTGAGGTCACTGCAGGAAGATCTGCCAGAGCAGCAGCAGGACTAACACCAGAGGGGTCCGCTTGGGCCTTTCCTTCCACGTCCCTCATTGGCCTAACCATTTCCCGTGTTCTCAGCTTATCTTGTGATTATTCACTTGTGTGTGCATGTGTGTTTCTCCCACTAGAAACTGATTTCTTTTTGTTGTTGTTCTTTTTTGTGAGGGTGGGTACCAGGGGTTGAATTCAGAGGCACTCAACCACTGAGCCACGTCCCCAGGCCTATTTTTATTTAGAGACAAGGTCTCAATGAATTGCTTAGGGCCTTGCCATTGCTAATGCTGGCTTTGAACTCACAATCCTAGTGCCTCAGCCTCCCAGGCCACCGGGATTACAGACATGCACCACCCCGCCCCGCTAGAAACTGATTTCTTTAATGGCAGTTTCTGCGTTTCACTCATCCATCTCTGTGCTAATGTCATCACTTGGAACACTGAGCACTGGATGACTTTTTCTGAATTAACTGTCAGTATGTGGACAGTCCCTGGACGAGGTTAGCCACCACCACTATCATCATTACGATTATTTCTGACTCCTCAGGCCTGCCCTAATGTGAGGGAGACAATATTGTGCTTGATAAATGCTTATTTAATTTCTTCACCAAGTAAACAAAACCGTGCTGTTGGGGGTCACCCCCATCATGTGACATGCTCCTGGGGAAAACTCTGCGGTTCCCTGGCATTTACATAGGAAAGGGCCATTCAGTCCATTTGGCCATGTGGATTTTTATTGCCACAAGAGCTATGGATTTTCCAGTTACCTCTTTACAATATTGGGCGAGAATGTCATTAAATTTCATCATCATCTGCCGATTCACAGCCTCTCGCGAACGAATATGCTTAAATTTTAAGAGCATGTCAAAGGCCGCTTCGGCGGATCGAAGTGTCTTAAAAGATTCATCAATGAAATTTTTTGCTTCTTTCTCAATAATCTGGAATTAAAAAAAAATCATAAAGCAGCCCTCATGTCCCTGTAACTATTCTGCAAAAACAAAGTGGCAAGAAACGAGAAAAAAAAAAATCCATAGCGGGGGACAGATTTCTACTGCACTTCCATGGGAGCTGGCACAGCTAGAAACAGCAGCTAGTTGCAGGGATTTTCTGCTCTCTCTCACCAGCCAATTCAAAACAAGGGGGGAGAGAAGATTTACAAGAAATAAATCATATTTTTAAAACACATGGAAAAGAGCCAGGTGTGATGGCACACACCTATAATTCCAGTTGCTTGGGAGGCTGAGGCAGGAGGATAGTGAGTTCAAAGCCAGCCTCAGCAACTTAGTGAGGCTCTGAGCAACTCAGGGAGACCCTGTCTCTAAATAAAATATAAAAAGGGCTGGAGGCGTGGCTCAGTGGTTAAACACCCCTGGTACCAAAATCCCCAGTACAAAACAAAACAAAACCAAAATAAACAAACAAAAAACCATGGGAGGGGACAAGAATGGGAGAGAATTGGCAGATTTTTTTTGCTGCACAAGAACTTTAGGAAGGACAAGAGTTATAACCTCGTGTATCCACGGGGGAGCAGGTGAGCACTGGTTTGCTCCAGAAAGAAAAAGAAACCTCTAGGAGGCTGAGAATTTGGAGACACCAGGCTGGGGGTTGGGGTGAAGGCCCCGGGGCAAACGCAGCTCCCTCCTGCCTCTGCACAGCCAGGCTGGTATGAGCTGCCACCCTCCCATCTGCACCCCCTTCGATAAGAGTGGAGGTTAGTTCTAAAAAATTTCAAGCAGAATGATGCCAGAAGCCAGAAATCAGTGACAGACGTCTTCAAATTTCCGAAGTGATTTTCCACTTTGAATTCCGTACCTCTCACCTCGGAGTTCACTCGTACCAGACTCAAAAATATATACATCCCGTGAGACCTGTCTGAAGAAGCTACTCAGAAATGGGCTCCAGAAAAACAAAGGAGTCAACAAGGGGAGACATGAGATCCAGGAATCTGAGGACTCTGAGGAGAGTCCCCATGTGGGGGGCGGTGACACCTGTCCCACCTCGATTCCCAGGCAGGGGGGGTCTGTGCCGTATGGAGCAAGCCCTGATCACATCCAGCTGCATGTGAACTTGGTCTGCCTGGGGAGTGGTGCGGGGACAGCTGAGGAATGTCCACCTCGCCTCACATCTTACTCTGTATTGTTTCTAGGTTTTACTAATAAGCAGGTATTATTTTTGGTGGTTTAAAAACAAAGCAAAGGCCTGGGAATGTGGCTCAAGCGGTAGCGCGCTCGCCTGGCATGCGTGCGGCCCGGGTTCAATCCTCAGCACCACATACCAACAAAGATGTTGTGTCCGCCGAAAACTAAAAAATGAATATTAAAAAAAATTCTCTCTCTCTTTAAAAAAAATAAAGGTATTGTGTCCACCCACAACTGAAAAATAAATATTAAAAAAAAAAAAGCAAAGAGGGGCTGGGGCCCTGGGTTTGATCCCCGGCACCACATAAAAATAAACAACATAAAGGTATCGTGTCCACCTACAACTAAAAATATCTAAAGAAAAAAAAAAAACTAAGTGTCACTAAACAACCCAACAAATTTAACATGGGGACAGCACGGTGACTGCTTCCCAGGTCACATAGACAGGTGTGTGACTTGCCAGGACTTCGATCTTGAAGTCGTCCATCACGAATTTCCAGTACTGGGCGGACTTGTTGCTGAAGGGGTCGAAGGTGAGGTTTTCCATGGGGGTGACCAGGCTGTCCACTCTGCACAGGACGTCGTCGATACGCTTGGGGTCCCCTGTCACAGCCTTCAGTTCTGGACCAAATATATTGTAGAATTCCTCCATAACCTGCCAGACAACAGAAAAGGAGGCTCTGCGTTTTTGTTTTCTCGTGAATATTCCAACTACAAACGGAGAGCACATATACATTTACCTGAGCACAAGAATCCCGTCACACAGGCGACCACCACCCACGGAGACCTTTGGAACTATGCCATTGCACTAGGACCACACCTGGACACCGACCTCTGCTCATGTGTCTGCACATTCTCCCCTGCCACCCCCCACCCTTCCCGGGCTGCTCCTGCTTGCAGCCAGATGCCCATTGTCATTTTCCCTTCCTTCCTGCCTCAGGGACTTTGCACTCACCACTCAAAGAGCCTCATAGTTCCTGCTTAGTCCTGAATGTCTCTTTCTTGTGTCCAGCACTCATAGACCCGCTCAGATCCTAGCCATGCTTCCAGAGCACCCTCCACTGCTTCTTGTGGCCTTTCAGCTGTAGCTGTGTGTATGTGATTGTCACACCTGCTGTCCTTTTCTTCCACTAGTTGGACACTCCATGAAGCTAAGGACTAGGGAAGTGTTCCAGGGCTGGCGTCCCAGGCCCTTGCCCTGGATAGGTGCACAGGCCCTCCCTCAGGTGTGGCCTGGGCCGGGTTGAAGGCTCTGCTGTCATCATCACAAAATTAATGACTTTTTCTGTGAACTTGTTTATGTCAACACAGTTCGTGGAACTGTGGTGCACAGGTGAACAGAACCTGCCTGTCTGTTGTCCTTGCCACCACCTGCCCCTACCCCATGCACCACACAGAGCACTTCGATGCCCCCATGAGCAGGGGCTTCCAGTGGACTCCTGAGACTCAAAGCCAGCTGAGGCAAGTGCGTGGCATCTACAGTGAGTAAGCAGGGGCAGAGTAAGCAAGGGCATCTGCCGTCCAAACCAGGGCTTGCAGCCAGGCACCATGGTGCACACCTATAATCCCAGAGACTCGGAGGCTGAGGCAGGAGGATCAGGAGTTCAAAGCCAGCCTCAGCAATGGTGAGGCGCTAAGTAACTCAGTGAGACCCTGTCTCTAAATAAAACATAAAATAGGGCTGGGGATATGGTTAAGTGTCCCTGAATTCAATCCCTGGTAGCCACCCCCCTCACCCCCCCCAAAAAAAAAACAGAGCTTGCTTCGGATGCAGTAAGGAGGCAAAGAAATGCTCGAGGCCAAGGCACCCTGCCACCTCCTTCCCTGCTCCTGCTGCCTCCTGTTCCAGCAGGAGGGACAATGATATCCATAAGGCAAAGGCAGGATGACCCTGAGTTCCTGTTCCCTCCCAGTCCTCAGTGAGGTGTGACTCTCCCCTAGTGAGACGGAAGCTGCGAGCTGGCTACATGGAGAGCTGCCACTGTCCCAGAGCAACAGAACAGGTCTGCGACACACCAATAGGAGCAGCCGGGGGCTGCCTTTGAAGCTGCTCTTGAACCACCGAGATGCCAGCAGCATCAAGGCCTGGTCTGTCTTCACTTTTTGTTTTTTTTTGTACCAGGGATTGAACTCAGGGGCACTCCACCACTAAGCCCCACCCCCAGCCCTATTCTGTAGTTTATTTAGAGACAGGGTCTCACTGAGTTGCTTAGCCCCTCGCTGTTGCTGAGGCTGGCTTTGAACTTGAGATCCTCCTGCCTCGGCCTCCCTAGCCGCTGGGATTACAGGTGTGCACCACTGCACCGGCCCTTCACTCTGTTTTTTTATTTTTATTTATTTATTTTTTTGACCCTCCTACTATCTTGGCAAACTTCAAATCCATGGCCAGGATAGAGGCATGGGAAGAAAAAAAGCTTCCTGACATCTTCATTCTTTTTAAGGCCTTATTTCCTGCTTTTTTAAAAGTTCACTTGTTTACATGCGGTGCTGAGAATCCAACCCAGGGCCTCGCACATGCTAGGCGAGCGCTCTGCCCCTGAGCCCAGCCCCGGCCCCTTATTTCCTACTTTTTGAACAAGAGGCCTCGCGCTTCCTTTCTGCCCTGGCCGCTGCCATGGTGGGGTCCACCCTGGTGTTTGCTCGCCCCTGCACCGTGCCTGCCCGCGGGGCGCTCTCCCTACATGTTTAGGATGAGGGTCGGCAGGCCTTCCCTGTGCCCACTCACCCATCAGACACTAAGCACTCCCTCCATCCCCCCAACAGCTCCCACGGACAGGTAGACCCCATCCCCGGCAGGCAGAGGCCGTCGCAGCAGCAGGCCAGAGGATGAGGCATCAAGACAGAGAAGAGCTCCAGCATTAAGAGAGGAGAGGGGAGGACCCTGCAGAAAACAAGCAGCCGAAGGGACCGTGGGAGAACAAAGTGTAAGGGCAGAGGGACGGCACCGAAGACCACCAGCATGCAATGGCACCTTGTGGCACCTTCTAGAACATTCTATGTGTTCTCCTCTCAGGCCTTTCAGACCTCCAGCTTCTAAGCACTGCTGGAAGAACAAACTGCTTTCCCTCCAGCGGGTTCTCTGGTCACATTTGGTTCTCACGTCACCCCCACACACCTGCAAAACGTCATAGAGGTCCTGGCAGATGGAGGCCATGTAATCCGTCTTCTCAAATAGCCGCTTCCGGTCAAACTCCCACCGGGCCTCTCTGCCGGAGGCCTCGATCTTGGCGCGGGTGTCAAAGTAGGCCTTCTTCCACATCTTGAGGGTGTTCTTGGCCTCCAGGGTTTTGTGTTGGGCGCTGGTTCGGTTCTCCCTGTAGAGCGAGGGAACAAGGGGGCCCGTAAGGGGCCTGGGCCAGCTCTGAGGCCCCTGACCCGCTGCTGCAGCCTCTCCAAGTATCACAGGAAAGAAGTCCAGGCAAAGAAACAGGCACGGCCTGCATCCCGGGGGCCAGGCATCTCCCGCTGTGACCTGAAGTGTTGCCCTCTATCCCCACCACCTTCCTCCAGCTGCACTGCAGTTCCCCAGGGTGGGGAGGGAACCCCAGTCAGGGCCCAGCCGGCCTCACAGCCACAGCCACTGTGCCACACTGCCCGGCGGGTCTGCCTGGGCTAGCAGAGGAGTGGGGAGCCTCCGTTGCCAGCACAGCGGTCAGTAGTGGGGTCTAAGATGGCACTGCCACAATTTGGGGACCTATTTCATCCACACAGATCTTTCTTTAAGAAAGCAAAATAAGGGCTAGATGTGGTGGCGCCCGTCTATAATCCCAGGAGCTCAGGAGGCTGAAGCAGGAGGATCACAAGTTCAAAGCCAGCCTCAGCAACTTGGGCCCCAAGTAACTCAGCAAGACCCTGTCTCAAAGTAAAAAATAGATATTAAAAGCTGGTGTGTGGGGGGGGGGACTTTGGATATGGCCCTATGCTTAAGTGCCCCTGGATCAATCCCTGGTACAAAAAAAAAAAAAAGGAAAGAAAGTAAAACAAGGGGGCCTGGCAGTGTGGTCAGTGCCAGAGCGTGGGCTTGGCACACACGAGCCCCTGGGCTCCATCCCCAGCACCAAAAATAATGAAAGAAAAGGAAAAATTGTCTCCATTTCCTTCAACATCCTCTGTCATCCCTCAACATCCTAAAGGCTGCCCACCTGAGGGGGCTGTGGTCCAGGACCCTCTGCCTCAGTCTCTCCAAGTAGAACCAGGGAAGAAAGCCCCAGCCAAGACAAAAGTTTATGTATAGATAAGATTATATAATTAAATATCAAAATATAATTATATGACATGTGCAATCATATAGAATATTCCATCAAGTGAATGATATGTGTGTATGTATGTATGTATGTATGTATGTATGTATGTATTTATTTATTTTAGGCAACGGAACATGATCCATAAAAAGGCATAAAGCACTGACATATCTGCAGCCCAGATGAGACTTGAGAGCGTACTACTAAGTGAAAGAAGTCTGACCCAAAAGGCCATGTACTGCCCCAGGCCAAGGGCATCTGGGTCAGCTGTGACTGCTCCAAGTTCCCAGATTTCTCTGGGGAATAAAAAGGCAAATATTCCGACACGACCGTGACCACCGTCACGCAGTCCTGTGGATACACCAGGAGCTGCAGCCCCACGAGGCCCTCTTAAGTTCCCAGCACAGCACCACAGGGCCACCTCTTACTTGAACAGGGTGCGAAGGTTGACCACCCGGCACACCCTGTCGGCGATTTCCCAGGCCACGCGCTCCATGAGCGGGATCATCCTCTCGTCCTTGTTGAAGTGCCGGGAGATGATCCACACCATACGCAGGGCGCTCATCATGGAGGGGATGGTGTCCAGCACCACCTGGAAGCTGGCCCCGTGTGTGATGTTCTGTCAAGGGGACATGCAGGAGAGAGAGAAGGGCGCGAGATGAGCCTGGTGGCTCCAGAGGCTGTGTGTGCCAGAAGCGTCCTCTCCTAATGCAAACTGGACGCACTCTGATGCAGAAAGCTCAATGAGGTTCATGAATGAAGTAAATAAAGCAGATTGCAGAGGTGTAAGGAAGCATGCACCTAATCATCCTTTCCCTAAACCTGTGGCTGCTCAAGTCCCTTCACATACGGCTTGGCGTATGCACATCCCTGCTCACCTCCTCCCAAGGGCTGAAGTCTCCTCCAGATCCCAGGCAATGCCTAACATGTGGAAATGCTGTGAACAGTTGCTCTGTGTGTGTGTGTGTGTGTGTGTGTGTGTGTGTTGTTGTTGTTGTTGTTCCAGAAATAATGACAAGGAAAAAGCCTGCCCACGTTCAGAACAGATGCAGCTTTTCCCCAGACACCTTCCACCTACAGTCAGCTGACTCCGCAGGCGCAGAGTCCCGGACAGGTAGATACACGTGCGGTAAGCATGGGGCATGTCCATCGCGCCACATGCTGTTTTTTCCAGAGACAGCAGGGTGGCCCCTCAGTCCTGCCCCGCCTGCCCTCGGCCTGCTCCATCCAGGGGGCATGCACTCCTCTCCACCCCTGGACCCTGGGAAGGCTCTGCATGTGGAATACAGGCTGCAGAATGCTCAGGGGGCCTGCTCCCTGCCCCTTGGAAGCTGGGTACCACGGAGAAGCGTGGACACTCTATTCCCCTGAAGCATAAGTGTAAGCCCCCACGCAAAGAGAGAGAAGCCAAGGGGCACCCAGACCCAGACAAGGAGGCAGAAAGGCAGAGAGGAGGCAGAGAGGCCATCCCGCCTGCCACAGGGGCCAAGATGAACCCCTAGCAGAGGTCTCCCAGGACTGCCAGGCCACAGCACAGGGAGACAGCCCAGTGGCTGTTAAGAAAGTTAGCAGGGGTTGTGGCTCAAGCAGTAGCGCGCTCCCCTGGAATGCGTGTGGCCCAGGTTCAATCCTCAGCACCACATACAAACAAATATATTGTGTCTGCCGAAAAAAAAAACAAAAAATAAAAATAAATATTAAAATTCTCTCTCTCTTTAAAAAAAAAAGGAAAGAAAGAAAGAAAGAAAGAAAGAAAGAAAGAAAGTCCAAGTTAGTGATTGACAGACATGGGTTTCAGTTCACAGACCACAGCTGGGCACCCAGCGCCGTTTGGATTTAACACCTATGGACATCCCCTTGGAAGTTCATGTTCCATAAGGAATTTTACATGTGACAACCTCCTCCCAGAGCGGACTGGGCGAGGCGCCGCACAGGACGAACCTTGAAGTGACGCTCCACGGTGGAGAGAAAGCGCACGTTGTCCGAGGCCTCGATGTGGTACTTGAACAGCTCCGCCAAGACTGGCTGCAGGTTGGCCACCAGCAGGGAGTCCGACTCCCTGATCACGTCCAAGACTTTTCTGACTGTCGGAAGCTTTGTCTGCTCATAGAGGGCACTTAAGGTGGCGTTTCTTTCCCGCCAGAACTCAATTTCGGCCAGAGGGCCATTACCCTGCGAGGGGACAGGGACATCAACACACACTCTCATTGTTAACCCAGGGTGTTTATCAGCTTCTCCAGTGTCCATCCTCTCATCCCAACTGCTCAGCACAGGCAGACCCTGTGCAGGGTCTCAGGGGCGGGCTCAGGAGCTAGGATGGTCCAATCAGAATCTCAGGACTCCAGGTGGTAATGCCAGGTAGAGGCTTCCTCTGGGCGAGGCCATCTTCCAGACACGGCTGAAAGCTGCACTATGGAGAAGCCTCACCCCCAGGAAGGAGGTTGGAACCAAGAGATTCTCAGTTGAGTTGGGGTTCCTGTTTTGAGCAGCCCATATAATACTTGCTGCTACACAGAATTATCTTTCCAGTCTAGGAATTACGAGGTAGCTCACTAACAACAAAAAGCCCAGGAATGATATCTTGGGTGTGTTTGCTTTGATCTTTTATTTATTATTAGTGTGTGTGTGTGTGTGTGTGTATTTTTTGGGGGGGACAGTGTTAGGGATGGAGCCCAGGGTCTCACACATTCTAGACATACATTGACCTTTTAAGGAAGTTACAAAACAGTAAAAAAAAAAAAAAAATAGGCAAACTCACGAAGATCCCAGACTTCCGGCTCCTTCTTGGGGCAGAAAGCCTCACTTGTTATCAAGGATCTTTGAAAGCCCTGCCAATCACCTGGGGTGTCTTCTTCAGCTGGCCCTCGACAGCTGCAGATATCTGATTCAACCAGTTTATCACACACTGCTCCAAGGTTTCCACGGTGTCTGGGTCAGCCGCCAGGTTAGACACCTCGCCCTCTAAACTGATGCTTGGCATTTCCAACTTGATCTCACCTAGAAAAATGGAAGTGTTTAGTCGGTCACTAGTTTAGGAAAATTGGTTCCAAACAATAACATTGAGTTAGTTAGCTGGTTCTTCTCTCCATCTAGCAGTACAAGGTCTAACATCTTAGCTCTGTTCCAAATCTGTCTCTCATTTTCCTTTACTAGAATGTTAATTAAAACACTTTAGATGTCTGTTCCAGGAGTTAAGTTCAAGCAGAATGACTTAGCTACAAAGATATTTCTGAATTTACAATTTAATGAATTCAGTTTTTAAAAATGGGTCATAAAATCAGAGTTCAGTAGATATTTAAGAAAACCCCTATAATAGTATAAAGATAAACCAGAAAAAATGACCTCACAGGAAATTGAGATGGAGCACATGCCTGTAATCCCAGAAACTTGGGAGGCTGAAGCAAGAGGATTAAAAGTTGGAGGCCAGCCTGGGCAACTTAGTAAGACCCAGCCTCAAAGTAAAATGAAAAGGGCTGGAGATGGTTCATGGTAAAAATGCCCTGGGTTCAATCCCAAGTACTCAAAAGAAAAAAATAAGAGAAAGAAAAAGAAAATGGAGATAAGGTGAAGAAAAGAAGAAAAAAATTAATCCCAACTATTTGTCTCAGAGATTTGAGACAATATGGCATCCTTCAAACAAGAAGAGAATGCTATGAAAAAGGTACAATCACTACTTAAGGATGTACTCCTGTATACTGAGACAGCAAAACCCAACTAAGAAAAAAGGCCTAGGATTCTAGAAGCAATATCAAAAAGACAGCTATGAAACATGCTAAGATAGCAAGGAGCCCACATTACATCAAGACCCTGGAAAGGAATACATTCAGTGAAAAGAGGGCCCTCTCACATGCAGGGAATTTTGTAAAAACAAAGAGGCCTTTGTACAACATTTTAAGAAAAGCAAGGTAAATGGGAACAGAAAAGGTGTACAAGAGAAGTAAAACTTTCAAAATATGCTACTCTGTTCTATAGTATACAACATTCCTATAGCTGTAATAATGTACATGCTGTTTACCATTCAATAATAAAAAGGAATACAACTATAACAGAAGGAAGACAGTAAACTAGCAGTATGGAATGAGGGAACAAATGGCAAGAAATTATACATAATGTCTACAATTAAAAAGAAACAGCAGGAAAAAACAAACAAACAAACAAACAGCAGAGCCAGGAGTGGTGGCACACTCCTGGAATCCCAGAGAGGCAGGAGGCTGAGATGGGAGGATCATAAACTAAGGCCAGCCTCAACAACTTAGTGAGACCCTGACTCAAAATAAAAACTAAAAAGGGCTAGGGATGTGGCTCAGTGGTAAAGTGCCCCTGGGTGTCCTGGAGCGGTGATTTGAATCACGGTCTTTGACTCCTCCAGCAGGAGCTGTGCCTGCACTGGGGGACTTCCTGTGCAAAAGTTCAGGTCAAGACTGCCCAGTTGCCATGGTGACACCCTGCTTAAAGAAGGTTCTGTGCATGGCAGACTATCAATTGATAGTTAAGACTATCAATCTTAACCCTGAGTTCAGACACCACTGCCAGGGGTAGAGAATCAGGAGCGTAAGTTGATAATTATAATTGTCTACATGCTCTGAAGAAACTTTCCCATGGAAAACCCTTTTTATCATCATGCCTACGTGATACACATCTGAGCTGGCTCTGGGCCACCAGTCTCTGTTGGGGAATGGCGTCCCACCTGCTCTCAGTTTTTCCTCTGCGTGCATCTGTTTGCCTTGTCTAATCCCCCCTTGCCCCTCACCAGCTTCTAACGGCCGTGCAGGTGGTGGCACCTGGGGTTCAATCCCCGCCACTATAGAAATTTTTAAAAGTCTGGATCTCTCCACAAGGGTCTCTCCCTTTTCCGTTTCCAGCAGGAGAAATTCCCATGGGGTAGGGATGTTAAATTCTACTTTAAAGGAAGAAAAGAGTTTATTTCCTGAGAATAACCACCCCTTTACAGGCCTTCCCAACCTTCGAACTCCCACGTGCTGTGTGGCATTATGTCTAACTTTGGGCCATTTCTCCCTCATTGCCCACTGCCAGCTCACTCGCCTCCTTCCTAGCCCTGCTGGTAAACATTCTGTTATCTATTCATGGTTGGACCCTAAAACTACAGCCACCAAGAGAGACCTCACTAAGGCAGCCTCCCAGCCTCCCAACTCTGTCCTCCCCACACACGTCATCACCTCCTCTGCCCTGGCTGACCCAGGCCGAGGCACTCTTGGGGACCACCTGCCCTCTCCAATGGAGTGCAGAGCCACTCAGTGCAGCAGTGGTCACCAAGTGCCACCTTCAGATGAGGTGAAGTGCCACTTCCTCAGGTGGCCCCTACTGCTCCCCTTGCTAAACTCGAAAGTTCTTAATATTTTTCTGAAGCTCCTTGTTCTGGACTCAAAGATCCCTAAGGACAAGGATCGGGTCACTCCTTTCTGCATCTCATGGTGACAGGCTTGGTGTTTGCACAGCGTGTGCATGTAAGCCACAGTCATCGTCAATGAGAACAGAATAGCTCCATCCTTCTCCGCAAAAGAACAGGAAACTCAACCTACCTTCCAGCTGCTGCATTGTTCTCTGAATGCTGTTTGCAAATTTCTGAAGGTTCATTAAGAATTCGTCCCGTATGAGCTGGACGCTGTGGTACTCCACCGGCTCCCCGGGCAGGTCTATGTCGTATAAGAAAGAATCAGATGGCTTCGCAGATGAGACTCCCAGGGTCATGTCTGTCTTGTGCTGGTTGAAGGACAACGCTGGCAAAAACACCTGAGAAGCCAAGTTTGTGAACAGGTCACCGGGCGCCATTTCCAAAAACTCAGGCCTCGCGTGGACCCTGGCCTCAAAGGCTCCGCTCTATTTCAGTACAAATAGGCCAAGAGGAAAGGATCCAAACCCAGAGCGCAGCCCCAAGGAAGGAGAAACTGCCCCACACATAAGATGATCCAAGGGTAAGAAGTGTCACCAGCCTGATATGGCCACCCAGAAAACAGTCCTGTTTCTTCAGCAGCCACCAGGAAACAGAAGTCAGAGACGGAGCCCAGGAGACACTGCCAATGCACCCCCTCAGCACCATGCCAGTGTGGGTCAAGGAAACGGAGTGAGGGGACCCAGAACTGGGTCTTTGCAAAGTTTCATGGGTACTTATAATGGAATATAGTGACAAAACCATCCACCCACCCCGTAAAAAGCAACATGCCAATTGCATGTGGCTTGGTGTGGTTGGCTGGTTGGTTGGGTTTGGGTTTTGGTTTTTAGTTTCCCTTTTTTAAATTTAAAAACATTTCTGAGGGTATATGGAAGCATCCAGAATGCTTGACCTGGAAGCTTCCAGCCCATTAAGCTGACTGCATGCTCAGTGGGGCATGTGAGCAGGTCCCTCTGTGTCATTTCCTGCATGTTGGCAGCTGGATCTGTGGCCTTGATCAGAAGCCTTCATCCTCAAGCACTCAGTGGCTCAGTGCTTGACCAGCATGCGTGAGAACCTCTGTTTCCCCCCCAGTCCCACAAAAAGCAAGAACACCTACACCTAGACTATGGGTGTCTTTTCTGTTAGGAGACAAATAAATGGTCCCCTCCAACCCATTGATGCTCAAAGCCCAGGTCCATTAATCCACTGGAATAGACTTACATTCTAAATATTCTAAAATTTAAAATATTCATATTAGATTACAAACTAGTATTGCAGTATGGTACACAATAATATATATTAAAATTCATACTCTAATAATCTAAAATTCTCTCTCCTAGATGAAACACTTACAGAGACCTCCCTCCTCTGCCTGCCATGTAAGGAAGGCCATGTAAATGCTGGGCTTCTCTCTATGTGCCTATTTTAAAATAGTATCCTGGTTCTCGGAGGTCCTGCAAAAGTGACCCATCAGGATTTTTAATATCATATGGACTCAAAGGTTTGCGCTTCAACCTGGTGCGATCGTCATCCTGTTGAGGATGATGGTTGTCCTGTCTTTGTCCAGCATGAGACTCTCGGGAGGCCCCGATGTCCTTCGCACACATCTCTAGAGTCAGAGTGGTGGACAGGACACAAGAGCACTGGACAAACAGACCCCAGGATACCCATGCACAGTACGTGGCCGGCTGGGTGCATTCAGTAGTGGTCATCCCTGGTGGCCAAAGCCCTGGGGACGCACTTTATCTTTGTACCTCTGGTTTGCTTGGGCTTTCATAATGAGTATGTATGTCTTATGTAATTTTTCAAAAAAGAATTGCATACAACAAACATCAGGGAACATGACAGAAAGCAGAGGAAACTAGCACTTGGTTGGCCACTCAACCTGCCACCTGTTGGCATTAATTGTGTCATATGTTGATCTATTCGATAATGAGAAGTTTGATTCAGAAGATGGCCAGGGGTCTTGACGTCCTGAAATCCACACTAGGAAAAACAGGAGACAGGCAAGCACCCACCGGTGGAAACGCGGCCACGCAGTCGGGAGCGTCCAGCTGGCAAGACGTGGAGAGGTGGACGTGGAGAGGCCATTCTGGCCAGTCCTCTGTGGCCATCCTCTGTGGGACCCATCCATGTGGAAGTCACCAGTGACAAGCCCACCAGCCCTCCTCACTTCAGCCGCACACAGTGCGGAGCACTCCTTCTCCAGGCTTCCGGTCACGCCTCTGGGTGTCCCTCCTCCCTCCATCCCTTCACCTATGTTCCCTCCCTTGGTTATTTCTTCTAGTCCCTGGGCTTCATGTGTCTCCATGACAACAATGCCTGTAATTTTTTGATATTTTTTAGATGTTGATGAACCTTTATATATTTATTTATATATGATGCCGAGAATCGAACTCAGTGCCTCACACATGCCAGGCAAGCGCTCTGCCACTGAGCCCCAGCCCCAGCCCAGTAACACCTATATTTTAAAGGATCATTCTGGTTGGTTTGCGGGGAACACAGCACACAAGGCAAAGACAGAGCAAGGAGAACTTTCAGGAGGCTACTGCTAAGTCCTAGCAAAACAGGATGTCTGTACCAACTATCCTCTTAGTCCAAACCTTCTCAGTGAGGTCTTCCAGGCCACCCTATCCAAAATGGCCAAAACCTACCTTTACCATCTACAAACTTCCTGTCCCCCCCTTGTTCCCTAGCCCCTTTTTTTCCTATCTTACTTCATTTTTTCCTCCCTAGCTCTTGTTGCTGTCTAGCACAGCATATATTTCCCATTGATCTTATTTAATATGAATCTTCCTGCTCAACCATATGCTCCTGATGCAGAGGCCATGTCTGAGCTGTTCACTGCTGCTGAATACAGTAGGTGCTCAGCACATATTGGCCAGATGGCTGCCCTGCGTTCTCCAGGAAACTTCTGACTTGGACGCTTGCTCACACTTCTACTCATATGCCTGAGATGCCTCTCGAGTGCAGTGTGTGCGAGAGAATTCTGGGGTTCCCCTCCAGATCTGTCACCCTCCCCATCTCCGCAGTGACCCCGCCAGGCCCTGGTTGCTCATGCACACCCTCACAGTCATCCTCAATACCTCTTCCTTCAACTCCAGCTCCCTGTCATCTCCAAGTCCGCTGACTGCGTCCCCAATGTGCCCTCGATGCATCTCCCTCTCTCTCCTGATGGAGCTCTGGAACCCACCCAACCATCACCTTCCCCTGGACTCTCCCATGGCCTCTGGGGGTGGGGGCAGTCCTCCTGTCCCTTACACTCTTGCCCTGGCCTCTTGATATGTTCCCACGGTGGCCAGGGAAAACTGCAAATCCAACCGTGCCATCCCCCTCCTTCCCCTCTCTGTGGCCACGATGGCTGTCCTTCTGTCCTGACTGTGACCGTGGTGCTGGCTGCTTCCTCTGCCCAGGAGGCTCCCACACCAGACCCTCACGTGCCTGCCTCCTTCACCTGGCCCAGGTCTCAAGTCAGAGCCACTTCGTCTCCAGAACTCCCCGACACCTCCCCGGCCTTCCCCAAGAACGCCTCTCTGCTGGAACTGGCCTGTCGGTGAGCTTTCTCTTTTTTTGTGTTTGACACCAGGGATTGAACTCAGGGCACTCAACCACTGAGCCGTGTCCCCAGCCCTATTTTTACATTTTATTTAGAGACAGGGTCTCGCTGAGGTGCTTAGGGCCTTGACATTGCTGAGGCTGGCTTTGAACTCCTGATCCTCCTGCCTCAGCCTCTCGAGTCGCTGGGATTACAGGGTGCACCTCCGTGCCCAGTTGCAGTGAGCTTCCTGATGTTTAAAGCAGCTCCCAACGCTGCTCTCGTCAAGGTTGCCCCCCACACCACACGGCCTGTTCCATCACAGGTCCAGGATGCGCTGCCTCAGTGGCTGTCACCATCCGGTGCTTCCCATTGTGTGTGTTCCACGTCTGTCCCCTGAGAGTGCGGGGACGTGTCCCTCGCCTTCCACAGGGGACCGCCCCTGCCTATCTGTGGGATAACAGAGGCACAATGGGGCCTTCGTCTTAGAAACGCCAGTGGCTCACCTGGCAAATGATGCCCCTCAGGAGGTGAAGGACATGGGCGTTGATGACGCCATACTCCAGCGTTTCAGGCATGATCTCCATCGCCTCCTTCATATCGCTGGCCTCAGGGATTGACTCTAAACGGAACAGAGCCAGAGGTCAGATGGCAGGAGGCAGCCACAGCTACCGTCCCCAGGTGTTCAGGAAACTCCTCCTGCTTCCCAAGGGACGCTTTAGTCACCGACTCCGACACACGCTGCTTCTCTCTGTGCTGAAGCAGATTCTGGGGCCCAGGTTGGATCTGTCACATGCGCCAACCTGGCTGAGACACTGCTCTGCCCACCTCCCCTGTGCCCAGCTATGCTTCCTCAGTCCCTGGCCAAAGTGGCTTCGGGGCATATGTGGTCACTGTCCCCCTTCTGATGAGGCTTTATTAGGCAAATATTGGCTTTGCCCACCAAAGCCTGGTCCCTGCAGTGGACAACATGAAGCGAAAGTGGCCTCTCCTCAAGGCTAGCTGAGGATGATGACTCACAGGACATAACCCTCTGTCCCCGGGCTGCAGTGTCCACCCTTTGCCAGCCACTGTGTGCCCAGTGTTCTTCGCCTGGACAGGGCGTTTTTAGAGGGACATCATGAAGGCCCTGTACATGCTGCTTTTGGGGTGACCAACAGATTTTAGTGTGAAGGCAAACTTGCAAGGAGGAGTCCATGGATCACAAGACTCAACTGTACCAGTAAAGAGTGACATTCTCGTGAAAGGTCAGAAGAGGGCTGGGGAGGCCAGCGTGCCTGAGGCCCCAGGTTCCTTCCCCAGCATGGAGGAACAGAGAGAGGAGTAACGTGTAAACAGACCCTCGAGCACGTGCGTGCACCACCACGCGCGCGCACACACACTCGTGCTCACGTGCACACACGTGCACACAGGCTTACACACACGCACACACATGCACATACATACACGAAATGTACCTTGTGTGTTTCTGAGAAAAAACAACACAGTCTGGTTCAGAAACTCCTCGGGAACCGGGGTGCAGAGCACCTGGAGATAGGTTTTCTCCACGACACGCTTCACCATCCTCTGAAACCGGGGACCAACAGTTGTCATGGCTGAGGACCACCTGCCCACCACAGAACCCCCTGCCCAGGCCGCCCGAGTGCTGCCCGGCCACACAGTTGGCAGGCGGCTGGCACTTTTGCTAACCAGCCATTGCAGGAACACCTGGGGTTGCTGCCCTAAAAAGGGTCCGACAGAGCCGTGCTCTGTCTGGCACAAGCCAGGCTGGACTTCCCTCTGAGGAAGCGCAGGCCGGGCTGAACACTCAGGCCTAGACTAAGCTCCACCCTTGGGACTTGTGCCGTGCAGGCCTCGCTTACCAGGCCTGCGCTGCCCAGACCCTACCCACTCTGAGGAAAAACAGTGTCCCTCTGAGGAAGGACAGGCCCTGACTGACTCCCAGGAGATGAGCTCTGAGCCCCTGGAACATCCTGCCTGGTGGAAGGGTCTCTGTGGACTTGGGCCCAGGGACAGGCCAGCGAGTCCAGCCATCACGGGGTTTGTGGTGGACGCCTGTGGCTGTCCGCCTGGGCCCTGGGCCACATGTTGCAGTCTGGCCTCTGGAGTGGGGGTGGGGCTGGAGGCTGAGTGGGGCGGAGTGACCAAGGCCAGCCATATGGACACCCTGTGGCTATGTGACTGACACCCAGTGATATCCTGGGCACCAGGGTACCGGTGGGCCCATTGGCTTCAGGACATCTGGTGTGAGAAATGAGCACCGTCCACAGACTCCACAGGGCGAGGACAGCTGGGAGCAGGTGTCTGGCCTCTCCTGGACCCACCTTTTCCCCTCTGCTTGGCTGACTCCAGGGCTACTCCTTCTCTGTGATGAGCCATAACTATGAGTAAAACAGCTTTACCAGCCACTGTGAGTCCCTCCAGCCATTGAGTCTAGGTGGGGTCTTGGGGACCCCCACGCAGGACTCTATGACCCCATCCTACAATCTGCGTCCCAGGGCACTCCCGCCTCACTGCCCTACCACGAGAACAGGAGCCATGCATACTTTGGGGGGGACATTTTCCAAATCTTCATCCTCTGTGCCGAGTGGAGTAGCCAAGGACTCGCCACTCATCAGCAAATTCTTAACTGCAAAACACAATCCAACTCGTGAGATCAATTAGTCAGAAAACTAGGTTTCCTACCACGAGACCAGCCGGCGTTTTTGTTCACAGCAGATTTCATTCAGTGGACATGTTATCAAAAAAAAAAAAAGCCACACGTGTGTGTGTGTGTGTGTGTGTGTGTGTGTTTTAAATATTTTTGATGTTGATGGACCTTTATTTTATTTATTTATCTTTATGTGGTGCTGAGGATGAAACCCAGTGCCTCACACATGCTAGGCAAGTGCTCTACCATTGAGCCACAATCCCATGTGTTTTATATATATATATATATATATTAGTTGTTGATGGATCTTTATTTTATTTACTTATTTATATGCAGTACTGAGAATTGAACCCAGTGCCTCCCACATGCTAGGCAAGAGTGCTACCACTGAGCCACAATCTTAGCCCCAATGTGTATGTTTTTTTAAACCAATGAATCCTCTTACAAGTTCGACTTATATTACAACTGAGGAGAGGTGTACTTCATCAGAAATCAACATGTGCACGCACATGGACCCAGCTACAGGGTCCAAGGTGTGATTCCCTGAGGCTTATACTTAAGAGAACTTTAGCCAACAGGTCAGTGGTATGCCTTTTTCTCATAATGAGACTAAAATTCAATGGGGGGGGGAGGTGAAAAGAAAGTAGTCTAAATAAAAATAAGACCACTCTCCTGGGTCCACAGTGACCAAGGTCAGCTCAGAAACCTGGGAGTCTCAGTTCCGAGAGTTTCCAATGAGGCAGGGCCTTGCAGAGCAGGAAAGATTCTCTTGATAACCCTGATCCCACTGTGAAAGGCCCAGGATAGGGCCAGTGTGGCCTTGGAGTCAGCTCAACTTCAGGCCTCTGAATCTTGGTCCATAAAATGGAACCCTAACCTCTACTGGCCAGATTCTGGAGGCTCAGATGATAGCACAGTCCAATGCCCAGCATGCACTACACAGGCTGGCAGAGGAAACTGTCTATAAGACAGCAACGCCAACCTTATCAGGGCACTAGGAATGACCTACAATCAAAAATACAATGACTCACACCTGTAATCTCAGGGACTCAGGAGGCTGAGGCAGGAGGATCACAAGTTTGAAGCCAGCCTCAGAAACTTAGACTGTATCTCAAAATTTAAAAAAAAAAAAAAAAAATTATTTAAGGGCTGGGATGGTGGCTCAATGGTAGAGCGTCCCTGGGTTCAATTCCCAGTACTTATAATAATAATTAAATATTTATACACACACACAGATACTCAATACATCTTAGAAAAAGTTAAAATGGTGTTTCAAGTTCTATATATTTTACCACAATAAAAATAAAAGGGGGAAATAAATTTAAATGCTGACTGGGAAATGCTGGTGATTCACAGATGGAAATGGGCTTCGCCTCCTCAGCAGCCCCGACCCGGGTCCACTAGGACTGAAGACTCTGCGCCTGCCCCTGGCCCCGGGCCCTGCGTGGCCTCGGTGGTGACTGCATCCTGGGGAAGCCCACCTTGCTGCACGCATCTTATTAAGGCCCTGGGTTTCTGAGCGAGGCCCCCTCCTCGTCTTTGGAGATCACATTTTAACAATAAATTCTCCTGAAAAAGTCAAGATGACTAAAGGAGACACCACGGAGGGCCCAAGTCCTCTCAGTCCTGTCTTCCCACGCCCCGGCGGCAGAGTGGCGGTGAAGTGGCGCGTCACACCTGGGGCGCCCGCTTTCCTTGGGCAAGCAAAGGTGATTGACAGCCCCGCCCCGGCCACGTGGCCTGCATCCGGGTTCTCAGCCTTTGCACCCGGGCGCCGGCAGGCTTCGTTGTGCAGCTGTCCTGTGCGTTTTAGGGGGTAAGGTAGCAACTCTGGCCTCTACCCGCCAGAGGCCAGGAGCACCCACTCGCTACACCACACTCCTGACATTGCCCCACGTCCCCTAGGGGACAAAAATACGTCCCAGTCAATAACCACAGCTGTAGAGAACTGGGTCAAAGTGTGTTGCTCAAGTCACAATGTCACTGCAGCAGAAACCTCCCAAAGCCTGCCCGGGGTATAGAATGTCCTGCTGCCCCTGCTCCCTCCCTGCCCAGCACCGCACCTGGTCCCCTATCCATGGACCCACTCTCTTCTTCCTCCTCCTCATCTTCGGACAGGGCAGGCATCTCCTTGTCTTTAAAGCCACAGACATGGAAAAGGAAATACAAAACATAATTTTTTACTGCATGAAACACCTGACACCTTTGCCCTCTGTGGAGCGGAGGGACTGGGATGTGCCCACCAGGAGCCTTGTGCACATTTCAGTGCAGCAAAAAAAGTCCTGCAACTGGGGCCAGATTGGGGTTAAGGGAGGAAAGTTTGTGCTAACTCTACCAAGAGATGAGGGATTTTTTTACTTGGTTATTTTTTACTTAGGAATGTTTCAGAGTTACCACCAGCCCCAAAGAAACACAAAACATAGAAGAGGCTCATGATTGTACAATATTATGAACATTTTTAGCAACACTGAACTGTATGCTTAAAAATGGTCACAAGGGCTGGGCACAGTGGTGAACACTTGTAACCCCAGAGGCTTGGGAGGCTGAGGCAGGAGGATCAAAGCCAGCCCCAGCAACTTAGCAAGGCCCTATCTCTAATAAAATACAAAAAGGGGCTGGGGATGTGTCTCAGTGGTTTAAATGCCCCTGGGTTCAATTCCTGATACCAAAAAAGAAAAATAAAAAAGGTCACTAGAACCCAGGAAATGCATCTGCTTTTCACATATTGCAGAAAAAAAGATTAAATTGACACAACCCAGTGTCAGTGAGACTGTTAGGAGATAGGAACCCTGTCCACAGAAGCTGGGGAGGGACAGGCAAGGCTTCTGTGCAGGGTGGTTTGGCAGGACCTATCCAAATTGCAAATGCAATTCCATTCTTGGAAATCTATGCTGCAAAAATACCCAAGGCATACAGAGGGGGTTGTTGCTGCTGCATTCTGGGTGGAATGGAACACTCTGTAAAGCCCAATGTCCTCTAATCAGGGAATGGGTAATGAAATGTCCTTCAAATCTATAACTCTAATGGCCCCTGCGGGAGTGGAAGCAGAGTGGGGCTTAGGGAACAGGAAGCTTGGTTTTCTCACTCTTCACTTTCTATTCTACACTTCTCCTGTGTGAATTTTTAAGAGACCAGGATTCTGGTGATACTGGTGTGGCTGTTTTTAAAGGTGAGCAGGTTGCCGACTGGTATGTGCAGTACAGCTGCTGACACTCACTCTCCCCCACCCTCTGCCCTCCGGAATCCATCTGTCTCCATTCGTGTCATCTTTAACTGGGAGCAGAGCAAAGCCCTGACCAGAGAGATGCAGGACGAGAGAGAAAAAGGAAGGGGTTTTGCACACTGGTCCTGCTGCAAAGTCCTCTGGACACACCAGACAAACCCTAGGAAGGATCCAATAAAATGGTTCAAGTCTCCTTGTGAATGAAGGCTTAATAAACAGAGGGTAAAGAACAATATGGCCACTGCGTTGGAGAAGAGGTCCCTCTCCCACCTCTGGCCAGAAACCAACACGAGGCAACTCTGGAACCTCAGAGATCATCAGCCTTGAGAGTCGCCAGGGGCAGAATTCTCACAATACCTAGCAAGGAGGACAGGGGGCAGAGGGACCCAGAAACAGGTCACAGATGAGAGGATTTCTGAGTGCCCTTTGGAGGGGCCAGAAATTAACAAAGGGTATCCTGTGAAGTGAGACTCAAAGCCCCTTCCACAGAGGATGGCACCTCCAGCCAGGAGTCAGCAGGTCTAAACATGCTCTAGTAGATACAACAGAAAACAGCCATTCTACCATTAACCCTCTCGGGTTGCAAGAAGTCAATGTCACACTCATTTTTCAGGGTCTTGGTGTAAATTTTTTGAAGTATCAAGGTCCCTGACATTGAGGTACATGTTTAATAGTTCCTCCTGTGAAGTGTGTCCTTGTAGCTATGGTTTCACTTGGAGATATTAAGAGCCTAAATTGGAAACCAGGTAAAACATAGTGGTCGGTTGCAAAATTCTGCCTTGGAGGAAAAAAAGACTGAACGGTTAGATGCCAAAATGTTATCAAGTGGTCATCTCTCTGAGGGCTACTAACAACTTGTTATTGTTGTTTAGTTGTGGATTTCTCCATAATAAATACATGTATTATTTTGTGCAAACAAAGAATGAATATTTAAAATAAATGAATGCCCAGTACCTTTATTTTAAAAAATAATACAAATAAAAAAGTAGTTCTGCCTGGAACTGCACCTGTAAGAGGACTTGTGTGGGATCAGGAAGTCCTATGGAGATGACTAGCACAGGAGGGGATCACTCAGGCTCACAACTGTGTTCTGTGGTCCTGTCCGAGTGTCCCAGGCACTCTGTCCTGTATCCCATCTAACTCTGCACCAGCCTCCCTGCTCTCTGATGTCCCTGGACCTATCACAGAGTGGGCTGGACCGGCTATGGGATGGGTGGTCGACTGCCATGGAGGTTCTGGATCATTGTTTCGACCTGAACACTGAACCATTAGTGTCATTTTAAAATCCCGATTTGGAAGCATTACTTCTTAGCACTTCAGGTTCAAGGAGAAGTAGAAAGGAGAGCTCATCTCACCCTGGTGAGACGGGGTCAGGATGCCCTCAGGCCCTCCCTCCTGTCCACAACCTCCTACTGGACAGCAGCTCTTCGCCAGCTCTGTGCCTGCGGGCGAGGTGCTTAGCCCTCTGAGTGCCAGTCCTCCCATCTGTCGAGCGAGGGGCAGGGATGGCAGGACCCCCACCCGACAGGATTAATGAGTTGATGGGAGCGTTTGGAGCTATGCTGGAACACAGCAAGGGCTAAATAAGGGCTCGCTGCGGCTTCTCAAGCCAGGTCAGCCTTTCCCAGCGGGCTGTAAGCCCGCGCGGACGCGGGCGGCGGTGCCCGTCCGGGTAGCCGTGCGCAGGCGCACGGCGGGGCCGCCGGTGTGACGCGCTGCGCAGGCGGGCGGCTCACCGATCTCCACCTCTACTTCCTCCGGCACCGCGGTGCGGTAGAAGAAGAGCGTGGCGGCGCCCTCCTCGTCGCTCATCTGGTTGAGGAAGTGCAGGATGACGTCCTCGGCCTCGCCATCGTCGCGGTTCAGCAGCTCCTCGAAGAGCTGGGGGTCTGTGATGCTGAAGGCCGAGTACACAAGGTCGCGCATCCACAGCACCCGCAGGTCGTCCATGGCGCTGTGCGGTGCACCCGGAGCCCAGCAAGACAGACCGAGTCCGAAGCCAGACGGGCGTCCGTGGCAACGGCGCCCCTAGCAACAGGCGCCCGGCAACGGCCGGCGCGAGGACCGCACGGCCCCACCCCAGCGCCCGGCCCGGCCCGCGCTGCTACGGTGCGCCCGCCCCTCGGTGCACGGAGTGCACGCCTCCTGGCCCAGCTAGAACAGTCCTGGTGGCGGGGTACCTGCAAGTCGAATGCCCGTTTTGTAGGTAAGAAAGCTGAGGCAAGAGACGTGTCACAGGCGAGCAAAGGGGACATCTCGGAGGTGACAGGACTCGACTCTAGGCCACCTCCACGGTGGACCCCTGGCACCAAAGGGAAAAATACATGGCGCAGAGCCCCCAGACCCGCCAGGTTCATTTGGGCATTCAGGGTTAGGGAAATGGGGCAGAGCTTTTTGGCTTTGTAGCCAACTAGGGCATAGTAAAGCAAGACACTTACATCTTAAAAATATATATGAATTTATTTGTCATTAGCAAAAGGAAGTTCAATACTGATAGGAAGATGCAGATTTGCCCTTTCATGCATTTGTGGAGCAAAATACTAACTTGTTCATTGTCATTTCCCCTGGCAGGGAGCTAAGCCCCTACATCACAGGGCTGACCGCAGGAACCTAACCTTCTTGTTGATTTTTCCATCAAGGAACAGGTGGAATGTTCAAGGATTTCCTAAAATTCTAAACCAAAGCTCAGCCTCGATGATCTGACTAGAAAAACTACTACACCAAACTGCCTTATGCCCAACATCTAAATAAGATTTCTTAATATCCTCCCTAGAGATACACCACGTGGTGTACAAGCAAACATGCCTTTAAAACTTTAATACAGGAATTTATTATTTTTAAGTGCAGACTGCAGAACTGCTGTTGGAATTATTTTTTTGGTTTTGTTTTCCAAAATGGGTCAAACTCTAAAAAAGTGTGACTACTTGACTGATCAACATTGGTTACCTATGCTACACAGAGTCTATGCCTTTTTAAGCTATGGCAGATTGACCACTGAGGCCAGAATCTTGTAAAATAACCATCCCAAGTTCCAGCTCAGAGGTATGCACCTGTAATCCCAGCTACATGGGAGACTGAGGCAGGAGATCACAAGTTTGAGGCCAGCCTGGATAACATTAAGTGAGACCTTTTATGAAAAAAAAAAAAAAAAAAAAACGCACTCCAGCAATGAGGACAGCAGACAGAAGGTTTTTTCAGAGTCCTTCTCGCAGATGGAAAGTCCACAGGGTTCAACCCCCTTTGCACTCCTTAAGTGACCATGAGCACTTCCCACCATTCAGGGTGAAATCATATTCTGTTTTACTAAAGAAGTCCCTTGGGTTTTTTATTTAGGACTCTTGTCAACACACTGCAGTAAACATCTGAATGGAAGTGGAATGAAGTGGCTGTTGTGACATTTTTCTCCAGAAAGATAAAACAGATTTAGCATCAATCAGACAACTGACCATTTTTCCTCTGGGTAATTTGCATCAAGGGCATAAAATCTCTTAAAAATATACTCACAATTCTAGCACAGCTTTTTTAAACAGAACAAACAGCAGCCATTCTGGTAACATGATATGGAAACCAAGCAACTTATAAAGAAATAAAAGTTCTCCCAGTGTCTAAATTTACCATTGTTAACTATATTTCCAAAGAGTTCTTTCACAAAAGTTAGGTTATTAATTTGTTTTTTTATATATATATAATTACATTCTACATAAAAAGTACTACATAGACTATCTTTGAAAAGCGACTCTCCACTCTTCATCCCATACCCTGAAAAGAGGAACTCATTGGAATTAAAAAGTGGCCCCATGACAGTTACTAGCTGGGGTAGTAAAAATTCCAGCAGATACTACGTCCCTGGCTGACAGGTGCCCTGAAGTCTTGGGATGAATTAGTTACCTCGGTTATTACCACAGATCCTCGGGGTACAGTAACAAACGGTTAAAGGACAAGGTACAAGGGAACGCAGCTCCAAGGGAAAAGCAACGGAACAGCACTGTTAGGGTTTCAGTTTCACCCAAAACAAGTGCCCAACATTACACTTTCCAGAGAAACAACTTAAGAGCAGGGTCATGTTCAGGAGTCTCATTAGCACTGTTTTATACTTGATAATTACCATATGAAGGACAAGCTGGCTTTGGATAACACTTATCAAGCAGCTGCACAGAGTCTTTAATTTTTTAAAGGTTTAAACTTAGAGTAATGGCTATGTCACATAATGTTCAGTTCATGATTCTCAGCAAACAGACCATTAAATTACCTGAAAGATCTGCTTAAATTCAGTGCTCCCTTAATCCTGGCTTGTAATGAAAGGGCCATACCCTCTACCCTAAACAGGCTAGAGGAACACCAGGACAAACAAGCCTCTTAATGTGTCACTCAGTTTTAAGAATGTGAAAATATGTCAGATTTCTTTTTCAAAATAATTATCTAAAATCAGCTGAGGTAAAATATGAAAAATCAGCATAATTTACAAGGATATGGAATAGATCAAAATGTTCAACAGGAATGACTTGAATTCAGGCAAAATTAAATGTCAAGTGAATAGTTGAATTTCAATTCAAGACTATAAATTAATGGCTTAATAATTGGTTTACAACTGATCTAAATAGTGTTTGAAAGTTTATATTTACCCTTATCAGAACTTTATTTAAGAATTAGTCTGAAAGTAAAAATTTATACTATTCTCAAGGATAAGTGCAATCTCTTCATGGTAAAATATCTTAATTTATCTTTTTCTATAAAAATATACAACTATTACTTTTAACTCTCTTTCACTTGGTACAAACTCCTCTGGTTCAGTAACATCAGCCAGGCTGGTCACTGAGCTCAAACTGTACCCACATGCTGTCCTCCACAGCCACAGTGGGTTTAAGGCTCAATATTTAGTTGATCTTTCCAAACATACAATTACCATAATTGGTTTCCTGTAAGGATGGATAACAAGAGTCTTTTAAAAATATACAAATGGGATAACCATTTGTCGTGTGTTATTTTATCCCATTTCCCCATTATTAAAACAAGATGAAATAGTAGAAATGATCCTCTACTGTTAATTCCAGGTAGCAAACAATAAAAAATGTTTGCATATTTTTGATCAAGCAGAATAAGGTGAATCTTTTGATGATCCATCATTAAATTGTTTAAAAAACTATGTTTTAACTTCAGCTATTGGAAAATATTATCTGACAACTTCAGGTGACAGAATAAACTCTGTATTTTTTAATAAGGTTTAAAAGGAATCAAGTATCTAAGACCATTTTCAATTAGCCATCCAAAATTGGCTTCTCTCCTCCGATCTTGTATTTTAAAAAATAACTTTAACATAACATTTGGCATGAACTTACACTTGCTCATAATAAAAACCAAAAAAAATTATGTTTCTGAAATTGATAAACATTACAAAATATTTAACATATGAGGAAGAGGTATATCTTACAGAATTATTTGGCTACGTCATAAGGCAATCAATGAAGACAGAATTTTTCCTATCATAAATTTGACATATGTGAAATTCTATAACATGATATTCTCCATAAATCTGAAAGCTCATTGGTTATAGCAATATGATCATGCCACGTTGTCACCATCACTGAACTTCGATGAAAGTAGACTGAATGAGAAAGGAACAAATTTGGTGCCTGCACCAACGTAGAATTTGTTCTGAAATTCTACCCTACAATAAAAAAAATATATATTAGTGGAAGATTGTGAAACAACATTTCTGTGTTCCTTAAAATAACATGTGTAAGTTAAAAAAAAATGTTCCTGTGTTAAAATCACTTCATTCCATACACGTTCTTGGCACAGACATTTTTACTTGGAAGACACCCCTCCCTATGGTGCTGGCTTTCTAAGAGCAACTCTGACACACCCCACCACATCCCAAGCTGCCAGATAACACAGGGTCAGGCCAGATAACAGGAATCTCCTGTCCACTTAGATCATGGATGCAGAGAAACAGTCGAACATACATACTATAAAACATTAAGAAATCATAAGAGGATCTTTTTGGTAGCAGAGGTTGAACTTGGGGGCACTTGGCCACTGAGCCACATCCCCAGACCTATTTTGTATTTTATTTAGAGACAGAGTCTCATTGAGTTGTTTAGCACCTTGCTTTTGCTGAGGCTGACTTTGAACTCTTGATTGTCCTGCCTCAGCCTCCCAAGTGGCTGGAATGACTAGTGGGCGCCACTGCGCCTGGCCATAAGAAGCTTTTTTTTTTTTTTTAATATTTTTAGTTGTAGTTAGAAATGATACTTTTATTATTATTATTATTTATGTGATATTGAGGATCAAACCCAGTGCCCCACATATGCTAGGCAGGCGCTCTACCACTGAGCTACAACCCCTGCCCCATAAGAGGCTTTTATAATAAAGCAATCTGCTGGACTCTGAGGAGAATTAGAAGCCTGAATTACATATGATTAGTCTACAGGCATAATTTGCTTTCACTTGCCAATAACAACATTTCAGAACCTACCAATAACATCTCAGGAAGAACTAAAATTTTAACTCAGAGGACCTCAGCCCAGATGCCAAACACAGGAAGAAAAGACCAGCCTGTGTTAGGCTTGAGATGAGTGGGTGGGAGGGACTTCCCTCACTGGAAAATCAGGATTCTAAACAACAACTCCTCAGCCACATCTCCAACTCACCAGTGGAGGCGTATGGCATGAAGAAATGCAGAAAGCCCTTCCATGATCAAGAGGATGAAAATTGTCAAAACTGCAAAAAGAGCAATCACTGGGAGTAGCAGCAAGACGCCGTAGGTGGTGTCCACTCGCAAGCCTACTCGCATCAGCATGGCCCACAGGACATCAGAGAGCTCTGAAAAGGAATCATTTGGCCAGAGTTCACTTTTTGTCAAAACAATAAAATTCTCTTACTTTTGGTTGCAAATGAAAATGAAAAGTAAATTCATTTTAAAAAGATTAGAAATGTTGAGTATTAAAGTGTTTTCTTTTTTTTTGAAGCACAAACGTGTGCGTGCACACACGCACACACACACACCAGCCCCCTAAAGTCCGTGGGTGCAGTGCTGGCGCTTCCCATGTGTAACTTGGGAAGGGGGGGGGGCGGAAAGTGCCTTTTCTGATACTTGGCAAATTACCTTCTTTCCTAGGTTTTGAACGGCTTCCGACGCTGGGTTCTGTGCCTTCACTGTCTTGCAATATCTGCAGCCTCACTTCTAGGCCACCAGATCCTCATCACTTATTTTTTCCCCAGTGCTGGGGATTGATCCCAGGGCCTCACTTTGTCATTTTTTTTCCTTTGCTTCCCTCTCCTCTTGGTTTGCCAATTCTTTGTGATGACCCACTATTTAAAATTTTCCTGTGGAATTACCACTAGACAATGGGGCAATGTGACTATGTGCATGGACTGAATGCAGATGCAGTGACCAGCCACCCACAGGCTTCGGAAGAAGTGATGTGACTGGCCTCTGATCACAAAGCCCAGGTGTGTCATCTGTGTGATCTGTGGACTAGAGCTAGTGAAGCACATATCACATACATCCTCACAGTGAACCGCGGAAACTAAAAATTGAACTGTGTTGCTGGGGAATAGGTGTTACTTAACTAAACTGTAGAAACTGAAACTCACGAAACATCAGAACCACGGGACTGCCTATGATCAAAACTATCACTCAAGCTAGGCGTGGGGGTACACACCTATAATCCCAGAGACTCAGGAGGCTGAGACCAGAGGATTACAAATCCAAAGCCAGCCTCAGCAACAGCAAGGTGATAAGCAACTTAGTGAGACCCTGTCTCAAAATAAAGTGCTGGGGATGTGGCTCAGTGGTAGAATACAACTGGGCTCAACCCCCAGAACCAAAAAATAAAGTAAAGCAAAACAAACCCTGGGACTCTGCACTGTGTTAGGACCTACTTTAAATGAGTCACCGTGTTCCTAAGGCAGGAATAAACAAAGCAATGGCAAGGAAAAAACAGAAACAGTAGCAGCAGAGTGAAAGTGTCTATGCCAGAGGTCCTCAAGCCTTCTCATTTCCCAAAGCCCCCGCGTCTCCAAGATGGTCTTCATGCACACCTCAGCAAAGAGAGCCAATGGATCTTCCTATTAAGTGGTGGAGTCCATATGACTCGACAGTCCTAGCTCACACACTAACCCAGAGACAGTGCTGGTCTCCCTTGAAAACTTAAAATACCCCTCAATGCCTGAGTTGTTCAAAATTGAAACGCCCCCATGCCCACAGCACTGCAGTGGCCTGCTCTGCTACTACTGTTTCTGCTCAGCAGGGGCTGGGGACTGCGGGTCTAAACCACAACTCACGTGCATGAGCCAAGCTGAGCGCCCAGAGCCGCAGGTAGGACGCAGTGTTGGAGATGCAGCCCAGACAATACTCAATGGAGTGGATCACTTGCGTCATCAGTATTTCTCCAAAATTAAACTGGGAGAGAGGACACAGAAGGTTAGACTCTGTCTCCAGTGCCCGCTTCTACTGTGGAGTGTATCCCTGCAGGACCACAAGGAAAGCACTGGCTTCTGGGATGGCAGTGAGAACAGGAGAATAGGCTGGGGGGTGAGGACAGTAAGTCTGACCAGCCCCATGACCAGAACTCACCATCCCCTTCCCCACTCTACTACTCCCCTACCCAAGCCTCAGTTTCCCTATGTAAACAAAGAGTGCAGAACTAGATGGTGACTGCCATGACCACATCCTCAGAGAGGGCCACAGGATTCCAGGCTAGCTTCAGAAACCACCCAACACCACATGACAGGAGTCACAGGCTAAGAGGACGCTAATCTGAAGGCATGTTTCCTGGGTCCGAGAGCTGTGGAGAGAAGGCCCCAGGACACCAAAAGAGGGTCCTGAGGGCAGAAAGGCTGCAGGACACTGGGTAAGATGCCTCTTAAGATGCCCCAGCTCTGCCTTCTTTTGTTCTATGATTCTATGAAATTATTAATAATCTCAAAATAAAACACTAAATTACATAATATTGACAAAAATGTGGAGAGATTAATAAGAAGCCCAATAAGGTTTCCAAGAAAATGAGGCAGATAGAGGAGTGCACGTGCTCTATCCTGCCTACCCAGGGCTGCCCTTTCGCTGACCAGTCTTGCTCCCCAGCCACAGCCATTGTGGACTGACCTGTGGCCTCCTAAATGCATGCTGAACTTCTGTCCCAAAGTGACAGTGTGATAATTATCTTTACAAAGATAATTAAAGTCTAATGGGATCCTAAGGGTAGGGCCCTAGTCCAAAAGGACTGGGTGCTCCCACAGGGAGAGGAAGAGACTCCAGGAAAGGCCACGCCATGTGCGGCAGGAGGCAGCCCTCTGCCAGCTGAGGGGGAGACCTCAGCAGAAGCAGCTAGCCACAGAAATCCTGCTAGAACTGTGAGAAACAAATCTCTATCATTTAAGCCAAACTCTGCTGCCTTTAGGTATGGCCATGCCAACAAGGACAGCAGCCACTGGTCAGGATGGCACATGATGCCAGGAGGCGTGTCAGGGCCCTTCCTTGGGATTTCTCCTACTGCAGTATTTAGATAAGAGTGTCTCCCCTCCCACTGAAAGACTGAAAAAAAAGGGTTGAGGGTGCAGCTCAGAGGTAGAGCACGTGCCTAGCAAGCACAGGTCCATGTACACACAAAAGAGAATGGCTAGAGAAAATAAGCCCAAAGTTACCTGTGGCCACGGCTCATCATCAATGGGACCAACCAGCTTCAGAACATACAGCAAACTTAGAAAGAAAAAGCCCAGGGAAGGCCTCTCAGAATCAGAGAACAGGATCTGCAACCAACTTCCTGAAAGTAACTCTGTTCTCTCTGATGTGAGTTGGTACATTTCCCTTTGAAATCAGTGCAAACCAGGTCTCTAGTTCTCACAGCTATGGAAGGGTTCTGACTGTGTCAGCAATGCTCATGACAACCCAAGTCTCTTTAAGCACAACAAGCAATGTTGCAAAAGCAGATCCCAGGGTAAAGGAAAACGACAGAGTGATATCCCAGACCCCTCCATTCTGACACCATCAGTGTGACCCAAAGAGTACTGGGAAGTTAAAAGTGACCATTGCCTTGTTTTCTGAAATGATAATTATCACTTTTGTTATGATGGTTATCTCTATAGAAGCTTCATTGCTTATCTAAGTTTATCAATAGCAAATGAAAAGATTACCTCTTCACACGTCATTTCTCTGCATCCATCTTCCATTTGGTTATTCCCCTCTTCTATGTCCTGGTTTCCCAGCAAAGAAACTTCTTCCTCGCTATCTTTCCTTATGAGTGTGTAACCACTCTACCAAGCAAAAGAGCAGAGTCAGAAGCTCTAACATTACAAGGTTGCAAGAAAACCCAAGTTTCTCGTTTCTCTTAACAATTCAGCTCTCTGAGAACAAAAAAGTTCTCTGAAAGAAAATAAGTACTTCATACTCAATAGGATGGTTTTTATTAGAAAGAGAACAGACAATGTTGGCAAGGTAGTGGTAAATGGTGAAATGGTGTGACAACTCCTCAAAAATCAAACGTGCGGTTTAACCCAGCACTTCACTTCTGGGAATGTACTCAAAAGAATGGAAGGAAGAGACTCAAAGAGATGGTCACATACCCATGTTCACAGCACCACTATTCACAATAGACAAAAGGGGGAACAGTCCAAGGTCCACCACAAATGCATGATAAACACAGCATGGTACATCCAGGTAATGGAATGTCAGTCTTTAAAAGGAAATTTTAACATGCTAAAACATGGATAAAACTTGAATACGTTGTGCTAAGTGAACGAAGTCAGAGACAAAAGGACAAGTACATGATTCCACTTCTATGAGGTACTAAGATTGGTCAGATTCAAAGAAATAGACAACAGAGTTCTGCCAGGGTTTAAGGAGGGAGGAGGAGAGGAATTGGTACGGTTTCAGTTCTGCAAGAGGAAGGCGTTCTAGGAATGGGCAGTAGTGCAGGACACTATGACTGTACTGTACTTGATGATTAAAGAGTGAAAACTAGACATATGGGAGAATAGTCAGTCTGAAAAAAGTTCAATATACATGATAACTGCTTATAACTAGGTGGGAGAACTAAGGACTTTCTCTTTTTTTTTGGTGCTAGGGATTGTACCACTGAGCTACATCCCCAACTCTTTTTTGTTTTTTGAGACAGGGTCTCACTAAGTTGTCAAGGCTGGCCTTGAACTTGCAATCCTGCCTCAGCTTCCCAAGTTATTGGAATTACAGGCATGCACTACTGTGCCTAGCCAGGATACCATTTTCTACATTTTAAATAATTTAGTTGTATTATTTATTTTTTTAAAAAATTGAAAGAAAAAGTTAAGAGGTAAAAATCTGGAAAAAGCTTTATAATTACAATAAGCTGTAAAGAAGGGCTGAGCTCATGAGCTCACCACACCAGGCTCATGGGCAGTCTGGGTCCACATGTTCAGGACTCACAAGCTCTTCAGGCTCTTGTAGAGCAGGCGACACCAAAGTGCTAAATAAAGGAAGCTTGGCTTTGCACCAGCACCCATACCAGTCCTGGCATGACTGAAAGACGTGCTCACAACGTGGTGACACACACCTGGAGTCACACTTACCCGGCTCACACCAAAGCAACTCCGCCCATTGTGTAGCCACAACAAGAAAAGTGGTTTTCCCAAGAAGAGAACAGGAACAGACAGCGCTGTGACGACCAGCAGCACTTTCTGGACGTGCTCCTGTTGGTGCACAAGGGAAAAGATCAATTAAAATATAGATACAAAAACACAGTCCCTAGGAGATGAGATGGGATTAGGGAAGAGCAACTACAGCGTCCCTGGGCAAGGAACACTCAAGAGCTGTAAGCCACATGCTACCTGCCAGCAGATCCTTCTACTCATGGCCGGAAACTTGGCCCAACACCAGAGCCAAGGAACACAGTGGTGAAGTATCATTTTGTCTTAGGTCAATAAAAAGAGTTTTGGAAAATTCTAAATGGAGTCAAACTCTAGCTATAATTTTCTAAAAGCATCTTTAATGAGAAAACAAAATGCCTTTTTACACAAGCAAAATGTCTTTTTACACTCAATTGTCTTGGGTTTTTAAAATTATTATTTGCTGAGGGCCATTACCAAGTAGGAATGACGCATCGAAATTTCCTTGCCAAGCGTACCCCATGCTGCTTAGAGGACATTCGATGGGACATTGCATGCATACTTTAATAAAGTGACCTTGCTCAAGGACCAAGGCGGATCCAGGTTTAGAGCTGATCAGGTTTGAGGAAGTAACCGGCTCCTTGAGTTTAAGGCATTGCCAGTTTAAGATAATGGGTTTTAGGGAAGTTGGAAGTTGAAGATTATTGCTGGGATTAGGGTGTTCCTGTTGCTTGTTCCTGTTGAGTTCTCGTGAGATTAAAATGGGATTTGGAGATAGCCTCGGAGTAGGTGGATTGTGCGGGAGACGGCAGAACGGGATTGCCCCTGGACCTGTGTGGAGGCGGTGTGAGAGCTGGAATAAAGAATTGCTGTTTGAACCTACAAAGGTGTGTGGTGGCTCGTGATTCTGGTGCCAAGCCGAGACATTGGCCCTTGGCAATTATTATAAAAACTATTTGAGGGCTGGGCTGTGGTTCAGTGGCAGAGCGCTTGCCTAGCATGCACGAGGCACTGGGTTTGATCCTCTCAGCACCACATAAAATAAATAAAAGAAAGGGATTAAAAATAAAAAACCATTTGAGGAATGTGAGTGTAAAGTAAGTTAGATTTATTTCTACACATGGAAAATATTGGAACAGCATTCAGAACAAAAGCAAAAACATTGTCTTAAAAAACAAATAGCCAGGCACAGTGGCACACGCTTGTAATCCAGAGTATTACAGGAGGCTCAAGAGGCTGAGGCAGGAAGGTGTCAAGTTCAAAGCCAGCCTCAGCAACTTAGCAAAGCCCTAAGTGGCTCAGTGGTTGAGTGCCCCTGAGTTTTCAATACCCAGTAAAAACAAAAACAAAAACCAGGAGGTCTGGGTGCAGTGGCACAGGCCTGTAATCTCAGATATCTAGAGGCTGAGATGAGAGTGGCAAGTCTGAGGACAGCCTCAGCACCTTAGCAATACCCTCTCTCAAATAAAAAATAATAAGGCTGGGGATGTAATTGGTGATAAAGCACCCCTGGGTTCCATCCCAGTACCAGAAACAAAAAACAAAAAACAAAAAACAAGCAGAGCTCTGTAGTTGCTTAGAATTAGCTCAAGAGCAAAGCAGAGGCAAGGTGCAGCTCTATAGTAGAGTGCAGACTTGGAATGCACAAGCTTTCAGCTCTGTCCCCAACACCAAAACCAGACCAGCTCGCTCCCTCATTTACTGCAGTTGGTGTGGCCGTGAGGATGCTGAGGAGAATGTGAAAATATACTGGCAGCGTGCTATCCTGTGCCTGTCACCCTGAGTAGCTGTTCCCATGTTAAAAATAGGTTCCTGGGGCACGTGTATGGCTGGGCACAGGTTGCACTGTCCTTGCACCATCAATACAATGCATTCCTCAAGACACCCAGAGAGGTGGCAGCCACAGGCAAAACCACCTCAGAAGTACTGGGCTGTGGAGTTGCATAGACCTGGGTTCAAGCCCTAGCCCTAGCAGCTATGGAGTTACTGGGTCCACCCTGAGCTATAGGTTGTCATCAGCACAATGGATGACACCACCTGCCTATGGAGCTGTTGTGAGAACTGAGAAGGAACCAACTATCAAGGGACACACACACACTCAAGTGTGCAACAGTTGCTGGATTCAGGTAGCTTCTCCTCACTGATCTCGCCACAGGGCCTCTGCCCACTGAATGACCTTACGCATTTACACGTACCTATGTTACTCTACATTTCTATAAGATAATGATGAAATACAATTTTTTAAAACCACAAAGAAGAGAAACAGAAATAAAAGTAGTAACTCAAAGGGGCCAGAGAAATAGTTGATAGAGTGTTTGCCTTGCACGCAGAAAGCCCTGGGTTCAATCCCCAGCACCATATGCGCACACACACACAAAAAGTAAGAACTCAAAAAGCTCAAAAATTGGGCTGGGGATGTGGCTCAAGTGGTAGCGTGCTTGGCATGCGTGCGGCCCAGGTTCGATCCTCAGCACCACATACAAACAAAGATGTAATGTCTGCCAATAACTAAAAAATAAATATTAAAACAAACACACACACACACATCTTTCTCTTAAAAAAAAAAAGCTCAAAGATTGCAAATGCACAGCTTGCCAGCAAAGCCCAGAACTATGTGTGGAGCTTCAAATCTGCTTAAAACTCTCTCCATGGAACACGGAAAACTGGAAATGCTCCCTCAGGCAGTGCACAGGACTGAGGACAAAGAGAGCTCAGGAGAGCCAAGGTCCCCCAGGCTGGCACCTCTTTGAACACCCGCAGTCTCTGCACAGCATGCTGAGTGGCACCCGCCTTGCCGTCCTTGGGGAGGACACTGGGCACTTACAGAAAGTGCCTGAGCAGCACCTTAGCATAGCAGACTGGCCTGCTCTGGTGACAGCACAGGGACACCGAAGCTTCCCAGGTCCCCCAGAAGGCTATGACCAGCACCTCCACAAGCTGTGTGGATGGAACAAATGGGAGAAGGGAGACTTCTGGGGGAGCCCTAGGGGGGAACGGGACATCACTCACCTGCCCTGGATAGAGGCCACTTGTTCCACTTGCTGGGAATATGAACATGTTGATGAACTCAATCAGAATGCTGGGAGCTTCTCTGGAATTTTCTGCTGAAAACACGAGCCACTTATAGACAATCATGAAGATGAGATATCCGAAAATGCAGAGCATGAAGAGGAGCTCCGGGATGGAAACCAGGAAGATGTTGAACTTCTTCCTGAAGTGCCTGGAAGACAAGCACCCATTACCCAGGGACAAGCACAGACAAGGCCAAGAGCAAGAGCAGCTGAAATTCTGACTCAAACAAGAAGAGCCACACTAGGGTGACACCCTGGTCTTATGATGACTCACATAGGGCTGCAGATCTCCCCATGGAGGAAAGAGAGAACAGCAGAAATGACCAAGACTGTGGTGCCAGACTCCACCAAACCTCCTGCTTTATTCCTTTCTTCAGATTCATTTCTTTCCTTAAAGTGAGGCCACAAATTACTAGTGAATCTGGTATCAAAGTGCTCTATCTCAAAGAGGCTGTTGTAAGATTTTTTCCAAGTTTTCAATCGTGTTAAGACTTAAGGTTACAACGTGGAAAAATACCAATTATGTTCAGAGATGAGAATGAACAGGAATAAAAGGATACAACCTCTTATTTTTATTCTACTAGCTCTAAATAACAAAATAGAAACAAAGAGGTTTTCAATTTATAAATAAAAAAAGGAATATGACAAAATTCATCCCTGACTTGAATTTACATGGCAAATGACTTCACTTGAGCAGAAGCTCCATCAGGGCAAGGGCTTTTTTCCTGTGCTCTCCTATGCGGAGTCCCCTGTGCCTAGAACAGTGTCGGGCACGGGCATGCACTCAACAAACATGTGCTGGATAAACCAACCCATGCCCACAAAATCTAAGTAATCAGAACAGACTTGTGCAGGCCAGGGCTGGAGCTCAGAGGTACGGGGCTTGCCTTGCATGCATAAGGTGCTGATTTTGAACCTAAGCATCACACAAAAACAAATAAAATAAAGGTGTTGTGTCCATCACAACTAAAAAACATTTAAAAATTTTTTTAAAAACATACTCATGTAATATCTAATACAGAGGACACTGGCTGCCCTTTACTCAATCCAAAGAGCCTACTAGAAGAAGCAAGGTTAAGAGGGCTTATAAACTTGGCATATAAACATAGCTTTAAAACGATCTATACTTACAAGTGGTTAAATATTCCCAGAGTGACACCAAAAGTCATGTGAATAATTCCTAAAATCACAGACATTTTCATTTTGAAAGAATTTAGGAAAGTGAGGCGATTGGTTGCCAAGTTCCAAATCTGAAGACCAAACAAAAAAAAAAGAAACCTTTAACTTCCTTCGAAAGGTAATGTTTGAAAGTTCCTCTCTTAAATGGAGAGGCAGCTCTCAATTTACATAGAACAGCATTCCGACTTTTCTCTTGATGCTTTCTACCTGGGAACCACTGATTTTCTCAAGCCAGGGCCACAGACTGTCAGAAAATAATCCCATCAAAATAAAACCCAAGCCATGTGCTGTGGCACAGGTCTATAATCCCAGCAACTCAGGAGACTGAGGCAGGAAGACAGCAAGTTCAAGCTCAGTCTCAAAATAAAAAATAAAAAGGCTCAGTAGTTAAGGCCCCCTGGGTTCCATTCCCAGTACCAAAAAATGAAAAAACATACAATTCAAAAATCACCAAGTACAATGACACAGGTTCAGGAAGTAATCAGAAAGAAAAGCAAGGGACCACCCCGAGTGCAGAAGCACAGCTCCCTCTGGCAGGATTTGTCACAGGCCTGGGGCACAGGCCACTCTCACCCAGGCAGGGGATGCACATGCATGCGTTACAACGCATTCACCAACATGTTTTCACTGACATGTTTTACAAGTCCCCTACCTGTGCATTTTGTAATAATATAACTTTAAAAAATAAAATAAAAGCAGAAATACAGCAAGTGGCCAGCCTGTGCCTAAGCCGAGGGGCCGGGGCAGACTCCAGGTGGTGACTGAGCTTCCCGGGCTGAGTTGAGTGTTGACATCAGAGCACCAGGACTGAGCTCCCTGGCAGCCATGACCCAAGCCCCCACAGGTCCCCACTCAGTGACTACTTCTCCTCCTCTCTGAAAATTAATTCCCACAGTATCCCTTCAAGAGGATTGGGAAATTAAGATGAAAACACAATCATTCTATTTAAGTTAAAATAATAGTTTAGAAGGAAAAGGGTACTATAACCAGGGGACCAGTCAATCTTACTGATTTAAATATATCCATCCCATTGGGGAGGGCAGGAGACAAAGCAAAGCCAGCAGCCCAGGGAACGACACAGGGGTGCCACAACCAGGCCAAAAGCACAGTCTTTTTTTTCCCCACCTGCAGTGCTCGGGATAGAACCCAAGACCTCACACATCAGGCAAGTGCTCTGCCACTGAGCCACGCCCCAGCCCCAGGTCAGCCTTTGTATGTTAGCTAACACAAAGCTGGTGAGAACCACCTCCTGGGTTGAGGCTGGGAATTAGAACACATGTGCTTCTTCACATCTTCCTGGAGAAGCCATGATGAGGCCCTAGGTGGATAGCAAGGACTCATAGGCAGGCATTATGGGAGCCACCCACATGTTTACAGGAACTGGGAAGGTCAGGCCTGATTTTAAAGTTAAAATAATGACAACAAAACCATGCTCCAATCTTCCCCTCTGGCCCAAACACCCAAATTGTATTCCTTGGTTCCTTTATGCAAAAACATTTCTTTCCTGAAAGGAAGGCCCCAGAGTACTAGTGAATCTGGGTGCAAATGGCTCTATCTTAAACTGCCATAAAAGTGTTTCGTGTTTCCAATTACATAGATTTAAGACATGGCATTAAATCATATGAATGTTTAGAGATAAGAATAAAGGAGCTGGGTGAGGTGGCGTACATCTGTAATCCCAGCAGCTCAGGAGGCTGAGACAGAAGGACTGTAATTTCAAAGACAGCCTCAGAAACTTAGTGAGGCTCTAAGCAACCTAGCAAGACTGTCTCTAAATAAAATATAAAAAGGGCTGGGGATGTTGCTCAACGGCTAAGTATCCCTGGGTTCAATACCCAGTACCAAAAAAAAGGAGGAAACAAGATACTAGGAACTTAAAGAGTGCAGATGACAGCACACCCGAATTTTCCATTCTATTTGGCTGGCTCACTATTGTCCACAGTCACATCTGCCCCTCTGAACCAACCCCAGGATGGTTCCTAAGACTTCTCTGGAAGATGAAGTGAGGTAGGGGACCTGCCTTGTGTACCCTGTGATCCTAAGCCAGCCAGGCCCCCTTGTGGGGTTGGGGTAAGGGAGCCCTGGCATCTGGGACAACTTCTTCACTCCCCTTTACAAACACTTTTCCCACTTCAAATAGCCACTCCAACAGGTACCACATGGCCTTAAGCTCCTTCTAGCCACTTGACTGAATTTTATTTCAATATCAAAGGGTAAATGATAATTCATATAAACAAAGAAGGGAATCAAGAAGCAGCCTACATTCCTGGCTCCTCAAGTGTCACTTTCTCTAGAACAGGAGAGGCTGGACCATATGGCCCTCTTCCACACTGATGAGGCCTCCCAGATGGAGTACCACCACTCCCGCTGCATTAATGGCAAGTGCTGCACGAGGGGCCACCAATGGCCAGGTTGCTGCCATCCACAGTACCTCCCTCACTTATGAGTCTGAGAACTGGACCAAACAGTCTGGAAAAGGCTGTGCCAGTTACAAGGAGGGGGAAACAGAGCAATGGAGACAACGGGGCACACTCACTGGGTCAATCCCAAAAGGATAAGGGCCTCGGAACACTCCAGGAATGGCTGGGTCCAACTGCAACACCCTGCTGTGCCTCACGACGCTGTCGCTGTAACACAAGCAAAAAAAGCAGAGGAGCAGAGGGAGCGGGTCGGAGCGGTGCCGCAGGGCCTGTGAGCTCCCGCCCACCCTGGCCCTGCACTCACTTCCACAGCACCAGCTTCTCGTGCTCCTGCTGAGTGTGACTGGAGCTGTACATGGCAGACACGTTCCACCGAGAGCCAAAGATGTTAAGTGACTTGGAGAAGCAGTCGTTGTAGATGAGTCCTGTGTACACTGAGAACAGCCCCATGAGCAGGAGGATGTATCGGCCATTGAAAAACATCCTCAAGATCTGTGAAGGCAAAGTGCCCATCAAAACAGAACCCGCAGGAAAACATGTTCACAGGACAAACACACATGCTGGCAGGTTCCTGTCACTTCTCCCAGGGCTTCTCAGAAAACCACCTAGCATAACAGACATCCCTGTCACTCAGAGGTGACACAGACACCACCCAAGCTAACGCTCTGGAGAAAGCCCAAGTCAGACAAAATAAAGGAGCTGGTAACATGGAATTACCTCCTGTGACTGGTTCAGTCCGGGACGATTTTCATTTATCACCAATAAGAGGGCAAATAAGAACATCACAAAGCCGTGGCCAAGGTCTCCGAACATCACAGCAAACAAAAACGGGAATGTAATGATGGTGAAGAGAGCTGCGGAGGAGGAGGAGACCATGAGAGGTTTCGTCAGAGCAAATACACGGCTGCGGAGCCCAGCAGGTAGCGAGGCAGCCTGCCCAGGTGCCCCAGGCAGGGACAGAGAGGCTGCCCACAAAACCTTACACCAGGGAGACCACAGAGCAGCAATGGGATCCTCCCAACACCATTACATCCTGCTACCTCCAGACGCAGAAGTGACCTGAGACACAAGAATTGACATATCCCAACATCCTACCTGGATTCACTTCCCTGTAGCTCCCGACACCATAAGCATCCACGATGTTCTGAAATCCCTCGGTGAATCTGTTGGTCCGGATTAGGGTTGGGGGTGTTTCTTTTGTGGGGATCGTGTTCATAAATGAGAGTATGGTAGCACCACTCTCTCTCTTTTGTGCAAAAAGAGAAAAAGAAAGACATCACTATCCAAGAAAAAATTACTGCTATTCAACACATTTTGGATTGCCCTCTGGGAAAACTCCCTGAGTGGTTAGGGTGAAGTAAGAATCCCCCCATCCAAGAGGTACAAGAACAGCAGGACCAGGGGCTGGAAGAAGCCTCTGGGGCTGGGGTCTTCCAGGAGAAAGAGTGGGTGCAAAGAGGAGGCAGGTGAACAAGGAGCTGGGTGAGACATACAGAAGGAGGAGGCCACCCAGAGCTACCAGTGCAAAACTGAAATTCAGGGCTCTGTCTCTTAGAAATGGTCAAGAAAGAGGAAGTAAAAAACGGACAACAGTCAACCAAAATGCCAACGTTATGATAAAATGATATATGTAGTATTTTCCTTCAGTGTTTACAATTCTTCTGAAACAGTTACTGATTTGTAATGAAAAAATGGAGCCAACAGGGCCCGGGTTGTGGCTCAGTGGTAGAACATTTGCTTAGCATTTGCCTAACATGTGTGAGGCACTGGTTCATTCCCTGGCACCTCATAAAAAAATAACAAATAAAATAAAGGTATTGTGTCCATCTACAACTAAAAAAATATATTAGAAAAAAAAAAAAGGAGTCAACAGAAAACAGTAAGAAAAACACCAGCAGGGCAAAGAATATGGATAGTTCACACACAAAAAGAAAAAAAAAGTCAAAGTCTCCTGAGCTCAGAAGGTGCTGGCCCAACTGGTGGGACAAGAAACGCAGCAGCTGGCACCACTACCCAGCCAACCAGCCAAGCCACCATGAAGTCCACCCCACTGGAAGATTGGCACATGTGTAAATTCCAGGTCAAGTGTTAGTCACTGCCAAGGTATTTATAACTTGGCAACTACCTAAATATACCATGGTGCACACATACAATCAAATATTTGTTATTAAAAAAAAAAAAAAACAGGCCAGTCTTACTGAGTGAAAAGAACAGTATGAATAGCACTACTTTTGCAAAAAAGGAAAGAAAAAGTGTACCATCCATATCTGCTTATCTATGATTAAGTAACTTGAGACAGGGCAGAAGTCAAACCAAGGCTATCTCAGGGGCCATATACTGGGCCAACATGGCCGCAGATAGGAGGAAGCCACTTCCCTGGCTCTTTTCTTTTTAATGTATTTCTCTTTACTTGTAAACTATGTGAATATATGATTTGTTCAAAAGAGCGACTTCGAATGCGTGGACACACATGTGTCCTGGAATGGCCAGTCCACGGCTGCAGCTCAAGAGCAGAGTCCAGTCAGGGCCTTCCCAGCTTCATGAGCATCTCCTCCCCGCAACAGCCTCTAGTGGTCCCAGTGGGCAGGCAGCCTTACCGAGCCCTCCTCTAGTGCCCGGCGCAGGTCACGCAGATCAGCCTCAGGACACCAAACCTCAGCAATGAGGCACTTGTTGGTCACGTCGAAGCTGCACATGTTCAGCATGTGGTAAATGGCTTTCATCTTCTTCACCTGGATGACGCGGCTGTACACCGACTCCGCGGCTTTACACAGCACTTGCCTCAAATAATCCTCAGTTTTGTGAAGCACCTAGGTAAGAGCAGACATGAGCTTTCGACAAGGTGAGCACTGTCCAGTCCTTGTCACCAGCCTCAATGTCCCTGGGGGAGTTCTCGTCCTGATGGTGGAGCCACCAGGCACTTATCTCCTCATGGCAGCAGTCCCAGGCACAGGGCAGCATCCACCAGCTCATGATGAGCCTGGGAGGCTGACTGCCTCCTGGGAAAGGACCCCAAGGGCCCAGGAAAGGGAAGGTGCTGTCCTCACTGTGGCAGTGTGACAGCTGGCTGGGCCCAGATGGCCTCCTGGACTCCCGCCCAGCCTCCCAGCACTGGAAGCCCCCGATTCCCATGCCTCCCTTCTGCCAAGAAATTCCCTTTTGCTTAAGCGAGTCTGACTCTGCTTCTTGCCACCTGCTCAGGGCCCTTGCTGACATCAGAAGAAGCTCGACCTTAAACAGTGCAGGTAAAATGACACCCGGACCTCAGTGAAGCCTGCCTGTCATTTGTGGTCAAGGATGCCCATTCAATGTATCAAAGATGACCACAGAATCTTTTTTGAAAGTCCCAAAATTACTCTGTAGGTTTCTAACAGACTGCTAGAAAGGAACATCCCTGAGCAAAGGAACATTCCCATCTCCTAATCTGCCTTCATTTTTGCATGTTAAAAGAAAGCGAAGACTGCTGAATGTTCCACCCCCGAGATAAGGAGGCAGGTGCAGGTCTACTCACAGTGTAGAGATCCTGGATGCGAGTATTCAGCCCCTCCTGAATCTCCTTTCGCTCCTCAACAGTGTTTGGATAGGGGTAAATGTGGCAGTGGTAACTAGGGGACAGAATTAAACACGGCTTCATGTCAGCAGGACTAGAAGAGTTACTTCCAACACAAGAACCAGGGTCAATCTCCACCAGGCACATCCCCTTCCAGGGTGGAAGGAAGAGCAGCCCTCGGGGAAAATGATGTGGGCACAGCCTGCCAGGGCAAGATCTCATACAGACACACAACAGCACTGCTGAACTGAACAGGCTTGGCAAGCTCACTCTGGATCCAAATTCCACTCCTGCCCCAGGGATTTGGGAAGCATGTTTCCAATCCCAACTTTCTGAGACTCACCAACACTGAGGCTGGAAACACAGAGCCAAGGAGTGCACACGCACCAAACAAAAAGTGGGGTGAGGTCTGGCTCAGAAGCAATGGCCTTGGTATCTGTGCCTCCCTGACCTTAGGAGCCAGTGTTCTCCCAGGGGCCCCTGACACCCACACCACACTAGGGAATGCTGGCTGTCCCCAAACTGCAATTGCTCCCACAACACCTTCATATATTTTTTGTTATTATATTGACTCTTTGGGTACCAAGGATTAAACCCAAGCATGCTCTACTGCTGAGCCACATTGCCAGTCTATTTTATTCTGAGATAGCATCTTGCTAAGTTGCCCTACCTGGCCTCGAACTTGAGATCCTCCTGCCTCAGTCTCAGAGTCACTGGGATCACAGGTGTGGCCACCACACCGACCACACCAACACATCACCCTAACATGCTAATCCACACTGAGCATTCTGCCTTTGGAAACTTAAATCCCTACTCCAGCCTTCTCCTAAGCAATGACACCTGTGATATCAGGGTCTTCTGAGCTGGAAGTAGCTTTTCTAATCAATGTGACAATATATACCTATTAAAACAACAAAAAGCTTGTCCAGCTGACACCCCAAAATTACTAGCTATATGACTAGTGAGAACCAAACTGGTAAATAGGAAATACCCAAGCCTTACCCCCTCTCTCAGGAAACAAAGATGCCCACTGGAAAGACACGAGGGGGTCCTGTGGGGTTTTGTCTGGCTTTTGCTAAGTGTCCCCTTGGTGACAGGGAGAAGCCACAGACTGCTTCTCATGTGGCACAACTCCATGTCCTGGAGGCTGGTGCCACCTGGATGCTTTTCACCTGCACTACCTCAGTGAGTCCTGTCAGCCTTAACAGAAAAGAATTACTGCTGCCTTTTATGGATGAGAAAACCAAGGCTGTCACCTTGTCCAACTCAGCCCAGTGAGACAGGGGCCAGGTGAGGTGAGCCAGGAAGCCCACTCTGAGCCCACACTTCCCTTTCCACCACAAGCCCCAACGAGGCAGAGGAGAAACTGCCCCAGGGACACTGTGTGCTCAGCTGTGACAGGGAGCCTGACCTCCAGCTAAATGCAACAGGAAGGCACAAAGTATGAAAATTTAAGAGCTGTGTGCAGTGGTGTCAGCAACCCTGGGCAACTTAGCAAGACCCTGTCTCAAAGCCAAATAAAAAGGGTTATGAATGCAGCACAGAAGTAAAGTGACTGTGAGTTTAATCCTCAACACACAAAAAAAAGTTAATTTGATTCATTCCTCAACTGATCTGAAGCCTTGAGACCCTCAGGGGCAAGGGGGGATGGTGCGCAGGAATCAACTCTGGGATCATAATTAACCTGGTCTCTACTTTCAATTATCTTAAGTAATGCCCTGGCAAGATAGAAGACCAAGTATCCTCTGTAGTCTATTCTCTGCCTCGTTTTCCCCACTGCTATGCTTTCTATTGATCTTGCTGTTCAGGTGCTGAAGAGCTGGGCCTCACAACAATAGAGTCACGGAGCACAGCTACAGCCTGCACGCTCAGGGTATTGCTCTGAACTACAGAGGGAGAGTGAAGGGAAGCCAGCAGGTGCTGTACCTCAAGAAATTAATGGCATAAAGGGCTTCCTCTTACCAGTCACATATCTTCTTGACCTTATGGCCAATCTGCTCTCCCCAGAAGGATATCAAGAACACGTACCATTTTATGACTTCTCCCTACAAAAAGCAACAAACCCGTCAGTTCTGTGCACGTAGCTGGGAATCCTGGCAGCTCCCGCTGTCAGAGTCCATTCACTCGCTCAGCGACATCATGCCTCACGGTTTGCAGATTCCAGAACTGCCAATTCATCCACTCACTACAACATGCCCAAGTGACCTTCATTTACCTGCAGAGCAGCAAAAAAAATTGTAGGACCTGATGCCTACGTGACCAAGGAGCTCCAGCAGGTGACATGTGCCTTCTCGGCTCAGCTCAAACCATAACCAAGTATCCTCTGCAATCTATTCTCTGCCTTGTTTTCCCCACTGCTGTGCTTTCTACTAATCTTGCTGTTCAAGATGCTCACTCAAGCTCCCAAGCACAAGAAGGCTGTGACGTGTCTTGCTAGAAACACGTGAGAGAAGCTGCAAGAGATGGGCTCTGGGACACAGGCCGAATGTGAATGGATCAGGAACACATATTAAAAAAGGAGAAACAAACAAAATCAAGTCATAGGCTAACCAGCCGAGGAAGTGCTGGGCTCAGAGGCTCACAGAAATTCAACTTGAATTTTCCTAGGAACAATAATTCCAAATTTGGTAGTTTGGTGTTTTGCTAAACATAATTAGTGCAAATAATGAGAATAAACCATATTTACAGATTTTCAATAAAACAGGATTCTAATAACTGCTTCAGGAGGGCTGGGGATATAGCTCTGTGCAAGAGTGCTTCTTGAGTGCATAAAGTGCCATCCCCAACCCAGAAAAAAAGCCTGATAGGCATTTTACCTATTAGCCGAGCACCTCAACAGGCACTAAGGCCTGAGCAGTGAGTTCGACACAAAAACTCAACCAGGAGAGCAGGAGCTGAGGCTCAGGCCACAGCTAGGAGCACGATGAGGAAAGGCTACATGTGCCGGGGGAGGTGAGCGCTGAGGAGGAGACAGGGAGGAGTGTGGTGTACAACCCTAAACAGGGTGGGCAAGGGGCACCCCAGGCCGTGCCACCAGAGTGTACAAAAATGAGACAGATGAGGGAGTGAACTGTGGGGGGGGGCGGGACTCTGGAAATAGAGGGAAGAGCGTAAGCACACGCACATTCAGGAGAAGGGGCCTGGACAGGTGAGAGCAGGAACAGGGCAGTAAGGGATGTGACAAGGCCCACACACTCTGCTGCAGGAAGCCACTGGAGGGTCCCACATAGGGAGTGAAATGAGCTGAGCTGACAGAGACCATTCTGGAAACTGGAGGAGGACAATGAGAGGATGGAGCAGTGAAGGGAGGAAGCTGCTCCAACACAGAGGTGAGAAAGGTGTTGCAGGTGACCCGACCAGAATGGTGGTAGGGCAGGGGAAGAAGTAGCCAGACTCCCCTGTATCTAAAAGGTAGGGTCACCAGATCTGTGGATGGTTTTGAGTGAGAGATGAGAAGAGTCAGAATGGCCCCAAGGTTTCTGGCTGCTCAGACTGAGAAAATAGAGCTGTCGTTTACTGAAAAGGGGGTCTATGAGGTGTCAGGAGGAAGAGTAGGACTCCAGTTTGAGGCACAAGGACAACACAGGGCAGACATATCTAAGCCTGGAGCTCTGCAAGGGGGATCCACACCCCTAAAACACGGGATCTCCATGAAGAGTGTTCCGCACTTTGTTCTGCACCTCCAGCTCGCTGTGGGTCTGCCATTGCTAGAAGGTGGTCATGACATTTACTCACTGTTTCGGGGTCTTCCAGGGACTCATCCAGTTCTGCATAGGTCACGATGGTATACCCTTTGCAGACCCTCCACAGCATTTTTTCAAATGCATCAACTTTTCCTTGATGAATTAGGCCAGACACAAACCTGAGACAATGAAGATGACCAATGGTCAACTAGAAGCAATGAATGTTCTCAAACTGCCTTCAAAGGATGAAGACCTCTGTCTCTGGCAAAAAGGCAGAGCCATCTGAAAGCCCTCCAATTGCAAAACATCTCAAATGCCAACAAAATATTTCTGAAACACCCTTTTAAAAGGATAGCTCAGCCTACAACAAAGGGAAACACTTGGAATCCAAAACTTAAGACAGGATATTCTATTTGTCAAGATGCATTCTACTAGGCTGGGGTCGTGGCTCAGTGAGCACTTGCCTAACATGCATGAGGCACTGGGTTCAATCCTCAGTACCACATAAAAATAAAATAAAGGTATTGTGTCCACCTACAACTAAAAAATATATATATATGAAAAAAAAGAAATGCATGATACTGACGCAGGATCTTATGGCCTCATGTTTAATGCCAGCACAAGAAACAGGGACAGGCACTGGGTCCAGATGAGGCAAGGAGATGGCCCTGATCCCCACTAGAGCTGGAACTTCTTGCCCAAAGGGCTACACTTCAGTGAATGTGGACTAGAAAATAATCCATCTCATAAAGGAGCCTACAAACAAATTTATTTTTTTCAGCTTTGGTCCTAAACGGACAAAGGTTTTCCCTGAGAATTTATACCTAAAAGTTAGAATTCAGTTAGGTTTGTGGCTTAAGTTCACATTATTTCCAAATTCAAAAAAAAACAAATCAACTAGTCCAACAGTGGTGCACCACTGTAATCCAGTGACCCGGGAGGCCAAGGCAGGAAGATCCCAAGTGTGAAGCCAGCCTCAGCAACTCAGCAAGACCCTCAGCAACTTTGTGAGACCCTGTATCAAATAAAACCTCAACTAAGGACTGGGGAGGTAGCTCAGTATTAAATGGCCCTGGGTTCAATCTCCAGTACCAAAAATAAATAAATAATCCATTTTAAAAAACCCATGCTAAAAAAACCAACATAAATGATTCCAGGTTGGTAGAGCACTTCAAGGCACCCAACAACTGGAAAAACAAACTCTCTCTGGAGGAATGGATTCTCAGACTAAACCTCACTGAACAACTTCAGATAAGGAACTGAGGAATCTAAGTTCATTAAAAATAAAATAACACTACAAACAATACAAGGAAACAAGGTGCTGTTACTTTAAGTAGGGAGAAAGAACAAACAGCAGAAGAGATCCTGAAAGCAGGATTAATAAAAAAATTAACCAGCTCAGTTTAGCCCCTACATTTCCCCCAACAGTACTCGATGCTTCAATGGCCAATTACTTCCTGCTTACAGGAGGAACGATGAGCAACATAAGTTAATCATCTCCAACCTGTTACACCAAAGGAAGAAATTTCCATCATATTAAGTTACAAGTCATAACAGCTGAGTCACTCAGCTCGACAAGGACAGGGGCACTGTGTCTTCTTAAACAGACCTTCACCTTCACTCAGTCACAGGTTTGAGAACAAATGGTCCCATTCATCCATTCTGTGGCTCAGTGGTAGAGCCTTCTACAAGAAGAGCTTGACACACAGTCGCCATCACCTACCCCAGCTTTGCCCCCAGCCTCTGCATGCTGTTGTAGTCCAGCAAAGAGTCGTTCTCCAGAGACGGGAATTCCTCATAGGTGGGTTCAAACTGGAAAGACACAGAGCCAAGTGCATCTCAGCAGGAGGACACAGGTTAGGCTTCCAGGTAAGTTTCCATGACACACCCCAAGATAACTCAGAGGCATAACTCAGCTCTGACAAGTGAAAAGGTAATTTCCCACTCTCTATTTGTAAGCCACTTGAAGACATGTACATTAAACAATTCTTCCTTTATTCTTAATAATTTAGAAAAACTAAATTGTAGAGTCCAACTTCTGCTCCACCTTTTGTCAAGATTATAAAGATTTTTTTTAAAACTGAAAACTCAAGCATTTGATAAATAAGAAGCACTATTATTGTTAAAACCAACCAAGACAGGAAAAGGCTTATAAAGCTTTGTTTGATGTCATATAATCCAAATGAAAAATATAGCTAAGGAGGCTAGGGCCATAGCTCAGTGGTAGAGCACTTGCCTAGCATATTCCATCCCCAGTACTGCAAAATCCAAAGCAAGCAAGCTGAGATTAAAGTTCATCACTTAATAAGAAGTAACACATCTAGATGAAGTGATGACAAAGCCCACAACCTCACGGAGAACTGATTTTCACAAACGAAGTATACTTCCACCCTCCTCTCCCTACCTCGACATTTCGCTTGACGAAGGTTTTAGTCACTCGCAGCATGTGAGTATACTCGATCAGTTCAAGCAGGTTCTTCCTCAGTTTCTCCTTGTTCTTGGTGACTTCTCTCAGTTCGACCTCAAGCTTCTGCAACTGCTCCTATGAGAACACAGCGGTCACTCAGGTGTATGTGTGAGCTTAAGAGCCACCATTCAGCAGTATGGCCCCGGCTCCCATGCAGCCCAACCCTCCCAAGCATACCAAAGCCAGGGGGGTTAAAAGCCAGAGTTTACCTACATGTGACAGGGACATGAAAACAATGACTTTAAAGGCGCCTTGTTTACTCTCTCCTATTAGTTGAAGTACTTCCTATGAAGTTCATGCCACACTTGACATGAAACACCTGGAGACACTAATGACTCAATAGGTAAGACTGTCAGCCTCTCCTCGACCTCAGGCCTAGACACTTCTTCTGCTTTTTCTCCATCTGCTTATCCACTACCAGACATCAAGTCTATGTTTCCTTTTATATGCAACACAGGACAATTTTGGATTAACCTTCCTAAACATACAGTCTCCTAGTCTTCAGCTTAAAAGTTTCCATGCATCTATACTTAGCACAATTAAGTGGACATAATTCTTAAGAATGACTCTTAATAATAATTATTTATATACAAAGCATCCTTATCAATACATATTTATTAAAATAATCTATAAAAAGAGTCAATGAAGGGGGCTGGGTTGTGGCTCAATGGTAGAGTGTTTGCCTTGCATGTGTGAGGAACTGGGTTTGATCCTCAGACCACACAAAAATAAAAGGCATTGTGTCCATCTACAACTAAAAATATATATTTTTTTAAAAAGTCAATGAAAACTTGTATTCAAATAATTAATTAACATACTACACTCATTATTTGAACTCTACCTTATAAAAACTATAAATAGTGACTGATATGTTTGTAATCATATCATCACCAACCTACCCAACAAGCCAAACCAAATGACTGCTCTCTGCCCACCAGACTGCGTCACTCTCTCTAAAGTCCATTAGTGCCAAGGGATAAACGACTTCCTCCCAGACAGATAGACCCAGCAGCTGCTGATGCAGTGGCTTCAGCTGCACCACACTCACTGCTCTGAGAGCAAGGACGAGCCGGCCTATTTCTCAGCTCAAAAAATGACAGAAACCTCAGTAGGTAATTCACAGCAGGGGACAGTTTTATCCCCCAGCCCAAGCCACTCATCTAGGTGAGGGCATTCAGTCTCCTGCCCACCTGCAGTGATCAACCACCTCTGAACACCAGGGCAGGGAGCCCAGACAGGAGGGCAGAGGCTCGGAGCAGCGGCCACTGGTGGGAGGAGGGGCATGGCAGGCATGGATAATCCCCCATGAACTTCCTGAAACACCACGTGGCAAAGCGGATGGCCTAATTCTCCCTAGCCTCTGTTCACCAGCACTGAAAATTCATGAAACAAAACTGAACTTCAGTTAAAACTTATCACAGACAGGGCTGGGGTTGTGGCTCAGGGACAGAGAACTTGCCTATCATTGAGAGGCACTGGTCCTCAGCGCCACATAAAAATAAATAAAAGTATTTTGTCCATCTACAACTAAAAATATAAAAAATAAAAATAAATGTATCACAACGTACTAGTGAGGGTTAAAATTATCCTTTAATTTTCACCCCACAGTTTTGAGGAAAAAAGGCAGAAAACATAAGACAGTAGGAGTAAGTGACAGGCAGCGGGAGCGCTACACCTCCACAGCATCTTCAGGAGCCTTACCTGCATTTCCAGAACCTGTTTTGGAGGGGGTGCAGGAGGACTGACCTCTCCCTCAGGCAGGGGAATATTAGCTCTAGTAATTTCCTGCACCAGATACACTGTGAAAATAATGGTTAAACCAATTAGATACAAACACTTACTAAAATACGCTTCAGTCAGAACACTGCAAATTCCAAACTTCCGAACGTACAAATATCTTGACTGTTCCAACTGATCTATGAGTCATTCTTTGCAACTTTGTCCAAAGATCTGCAAAATAATGCTGCCTAGAGAAACCGGCAAAATAAACAATAATCTGGATAAACATTTGCTAAAGTTCCCACAATTATTTTCATTTCCCAAACCAAAATAAGGAGCCTCTGAGGCCCTGAACCTATAGAATGCAGTGACAGGCCTGTGATAGTCCCCCCAGAGCCAGCAGCGTGGCTCTCTGCAGAGGTGCTTGGGAGGACAGTCATGACCTCTGGCAGCAGATCCACCCTGGAGATGGGCAGAGCCAGGTTCTCCGCACCTCCCCGCAAGCCTGGCTGCCATGAGTTGAGGCCCTCGGTCTACCTCACTGCTGAGTTAAAAATTAGATTTGTGGAACTAAACACCAGCCAAAATTCACTGGCTTTCTTTAGTTCATATTTTCAACTCCATGAAGAGGCCTTTTCTTTAGGATAGAAGTCACAATACCCGCCCAAGTCATCAGCAGGTGCGATATTTTTGGAAAGGAAGGAAATGGAGAGGGGAGGAAGGAAGAGAGAAAGGAGGAAAAAAAGCAAATATATGTTACCAGAAAGACAGTAAAAAAAAGTTTTGGGTTTAAGAGGTTTCTAAAGATAGATACAAACTGTTTAAACCAACTTATTACTCAATTAATTTGAGCATTCATTTTTTTATTGTTTCAAGCTTGCGATATTTTTTAATAAGTTTAGCTACAGGAAATCCTAGACATGTCTAATGCATCATGACCTTTGCCCTGCCTTTAAAAACCTCATTCCCAATTTATAACCTGTCCAGTGACTCATGTGGTCTCACTCTAACGTACAGGATCAACACAGATCACCAGGACCTCAAGCAAGATACAAAGGAACAGATTTCAGGTAACTAAAAGTTTTTCTTAAAGCTAAAATCCCCAATTGAAAAAAACCACAATAATAATCAGCTACTACAAATTATTCCAAAAGTCATGTTCTCCCAGGCCCCATGTTTTTTGTTCATCCTGTTAAAATTGAGTTTTGTACTTTAGTCAACTGTCACTTTTCCCCTCTCAGTTTGACTCAATGACTATTTCAGGCTAACTTTTTGTTGCTGCTTATTTGGTACCAGGAATTGAACCCAGGGGTGCTTAACCACTGAGCCACATCCCCATCCATTTTTTATATTTTATTTAGAGAGAGGGTCTCACTGAGTTACTCAGGCCCTCACTAAGTTGCTGAGAGGCTGGCTTTGAACTCATGATCCTCTTGCCTCAGCCTCCCAAACTGCTGAGATTATAGGCAAGTGCCACCATGCCCAGCTATCTGGCTAAAATCTTAAAGATAAAAACAGCAGCCTTGGGCTACTGAAATGTGACAGTAAAAGTACTAATTTAGCCAGGTGTGGTGGCACATGACTATTATCCCAGAGACTCTGGAGGTTAAAGCAGGAGGATCAAAAGTGAGACCAGACTCAGCAACTTGGTGAGGCCCTAAGCAACTTAATAAGATCCTGTCTCAAAATAAAAAATATTTTTAAAAAGGGGAGTTGAGGCCTGTCGTGGTGGTGCATACCTGTAACCCAGCAGCTCAGGAGGTTGGGAAGGAGGATCGAGAGTTCAATGCCAGCCTCAATAAAAATAAGGTGCTAAGCTATTCAGTAAGACCCTATCTCTAAATAAAATACAAAATAGGGTGGTAGAGTACCTGAGTTCAATCCCTGTGCCCCCCAAAAAAAGGGGAGGGGGGAGTTGGGTGGGGCTGGGGATGTGGCTCAGTGGTTAAGCACCCCTGGGTTCAATCACTGGTAGAAAAGAACAGAGTCAAGGGAGGCCTAATCTAACCTCTTCCCAAAGGAAGCCCAGAGAAAATGAAAGGGATTATCAAACAAGCTACCTGTCACTTCTTTGTGTCCCTGTATCTCAATATGGTTTTAAATTAAGTAATATATTAACATATATGCAGCATTAGGTTATAAAAAAACTATGAAGTGCTGGTTAAATAAATCATGGCACTTTAATATAGAGAAATTCTATGTAGTCATAAAAAAATGATAGGTCACTCAATGTTTGTAGACATCAAGATGTTACAGCGAGTGCTATTAAGCAAAAGACAAGGCTGAAAAAAAAAACCTGCCCATTATCATGTAAGTCCTTACTTTTATAGACATATAATAAAAAGAATGGAAAAATAACATACCTACATAATAGTGATTACCTCTGACTTATAAAATATGAAAAATTTCATTCTTCCTTTCTGCTTATCTATATTTTCTAACTTTTCTAAAATGAACAAGGTTTACTTACATAAAAATAATTATGTGGGCTGGGCTGTATCTCAGTCGCATTGCACGTGTGAGGCACTGGGTTTGATCCTCAGTACCACTTAAATAAATAAAATAAAGGTATCCTGTCCATCTACAACTACAATAATACTTATTATCACATAAGTTATTAAAAATGAAAAATACACTTACCCAATATTCGTTCTAGTTCTTCACATCTCTTCACCTCACCAACAAATTTTCTTTGAAAAGAACTTACATTCTGGTTGAGCTGAGGAAAAGATAAAAATTTTGCTTTGAATTTCTAAAATTTAAAGGTGAATTTTTTTTTCTTTTACTTATTCATCTTTACTTGGGAGGGGGGTTCAGGGACTCAAGCATGCTAAGCACATACTCTATCATGGAGCCAGCCCCTAAATTTTTAGAATGAAATATTACTGGCAAGGTTTTGGGGGAAAATACACTCACAAATATTACTGAACCAGAATATAAGCTGCCCTGACTTTTTTGGACAGTGATTTGGCAACTGTTGATCAAGAAATGTCTGAAATATCCCTTGGCCTAGAATTATCCCGCAAAGAAATTTAACTTCAGGGGAAAAAAAAATTGATAAACAAAATTTTTTAAAAACACCAACCTTAAGGATAGAGAAAACACACTAACCTAAAAATCCAACAATAAAAAATTGAAAAAGAAATAGGTTATCTCTAAACCATGGAAAATGACTCAGCAATAAAAGGGAATAATCCCAATACACGACAACACGGATGACTTGAGAAACAGTGGAAGTAGCCAGGCACAGCAGGACACTCGCTGCAGGATCCCCTTTATGTGACACATCCAGAATGGGTATGTCCAAATGGGGACCTGGACTGGGGGCAGGAGTAAGGATTGACTGTGTGTGGATATGAGGGGTCTATGGGGAAAGAGTGTTCTGAAACTGGACTGTGTCAATGGCTGCATGAGTTGCTTTCTAAAAAATCAATGCATAGTATTCGTGAAACAGGTGCATTTTGTGATAGGCCTCAATAAAGCTACACACAAATCACAGCTCAGCCACACAACTGGTAACTATGTACTTATTAAAACTGTTGTGTTAAATGACCAGGTATTTGATATTAAGAAATTATTACTAAAGTATTCAGGCATGATAATGGTCTCAGGGCTGGGATTTTTAAGAATCCTTATCTTTTGAGGTATTGACTGAAATGATATGGCCTGAATGTGCTTATAGGGATCTGGTCCAGCAGGAATGAAGGTGGGAGGCTAAAGTAAGCAGCCACTAGTCCACATTGTGGGTACACAGAGGTCCCAGTGCTCTTCATTCTGCTGAGCTTCTTATAATACAAAGCTTAAAACAATAAAAAAAAAATTGTAAAAATTATTTAATAAAATTAGTAAATTAAGTCTGATTTGTATATGTAAAAAGCATATTAAAGATATTTCCCCAGGCCAGTTGTGGTTGTACACGCCTATAATCCCAGCAGTTCAGGAGGCTGAGACAGGAGGATTGTAATTTCAAAGCCAGCCTCCTCAATTTAGCAAGGCCTTAAGCAACCCAGTGAGACCCTATCTCTAAATAAAACATAAAAATAGGCTGGGGAGGGGCTGGGGATGTGGCTCAAGGGGTAGCGCACTCGCCTGGCATGCATGCGGCCCCGGTTCGATCCTCAGCACCACATGCAAACAAAGATGCTGTGTCCGCCAAAAACTAAAAAATAAATATTAAAATTCTCTCTCTCTC